TGCAGAAAGGTCCACAGTTTTGCAGGAGCCCCTTTGCTTCGTCGTAGATTCCTCTCCTTGAAGCCGATAGTCGTAAAGCATGCCTCAGCAAAAAGGCTTGCAACACGGAGCGTGCACACAGCAACAGCACAGGTTTGGAAGCAGTTGACATACTGAAGCCTACATCGTTTAGGCATCCTGAGTCCCTTGCCCTCAGAAGGTTTCGCCCAGTTATCTCTTGGATGCCGCAGGTCCCCGAACAACTTCCGAACAGATCGGATGTGCCCGTGCAGTGACACTTGCCTTGAGCAAGGATATTTGCATGTGCCCTTCAGGTCTGTTCTTCATCGAATCCTACCGGCCCTCCTCAAGGCCCGTCAATCTGTCAAGGGTAAGCGGCTGCACTGTTGTGGGGAGGCACCCGCTTGGCGCTGCACTGAGAGTGCTAGCACGAAAACAATTTCCGGTGCTTTTTGCAATATTCTCAGTAGGTAGGCTAGGCAACGAACCTGTCCAGATATTCTTGATGTTTTACGCCACTTGCGTATGACAGAACACATGATTTCTAAACTCAACAGAAGCTGAGTCACACTCTAGGACTCCGGTTCGGATGTAACTATCATATGAGAGCCTGATCAGCATACTAGATCCCACCGCTTGATTGGGGCTCAAAGCGGGAGCCCCCAAACAAATCTAAGTCATGGCTTTCAATTGCGATCAGCCGAAAACTTTTTTTGGGACGCGGAACTTCGCACAAAGCAGCAACCCCAAATCATTAGGAGGGTCCTGAATAATTTCTGCGAATTTTGCACAATTCAGTGGCAAAATCTGGGTTGCTCCTTGGCCTGCTTGCTTTATGACTCTTTGTAGCTTGACCATGGTACAGCCATGGTTTCAACAGAGTTGCATCAGAGCCATGTCTTAGGGCATCAATTGAAAGCTTCACGTGGCATTCGGTGCATGGTTGTTTGACAGATGACAGAGGTATCACAGTGACCACGGCAAAAGCCTGAAGCATTGGGTACACAAACCATTCAGATTATGGTATTTTGTATCTCAAGCCCTATTATTTGGGTACTGGGACCCTTAGGGTATTTCCTTAACTAAGGGGTATAAGGCTCTCTGCTAGGTGATGGCAGCGCAGACTGGTCCATTGTCCAGGAATTCGAGTCTGACTGGACACAGGCTCTTGGTGATTGCATGGCCCCAGAAAAGAAAAGGCCAACAACCACAAAACAGCCCAAAGGCCATTATTTTACCTATTTCAGGGGTTCGGGCATTCACTTGCAACAGCCGAGACCATTCTTCTTGCAGTTGGGGGGCGAATGGTTGCGCAGGTTGACGGCCCATTCATCTGCTTTCCAGTCGTGTCTTGCATTTGCTGTGAATCCATGCTATGTTCATAGGTTTCTCTCGGATGCTTGCTAACCGCGAGTCTGCTAACTCAAAACCGGGCGCAATCAATCATACGCTTTCTCAACAGCTTCCGATGGTGATAAGCTACGAGAAAAAGCTTGTAGAAATCTGGATCTGAGATGAGCCAATTTCAGCGAACCTTGAATCTTGAAGTTAAAGGTTCCCAGTTTAGCTCCGTCCTTCCCGCCGCAAAGCTGCTCTGCCACTGAATGATGCACTATCTGGGTTGCTGTTAAGGAACTTAAATTAGGTTACTGTATTGGGGAAACCCTATTATCTACTATGTATACCCATTATGATAACTTAATTTAAGTACCTTAACAGCAACCCAGCTATAAGAAGTGGTACTTCTCAGCTCAGATAACTATACGTATACGCGCAAGCGGGATAACCAGCAACCCAATCCGTCAAAGGGTCCTAAGTGAAGGGCTTGGGGTAACTAAACTCCTTAGTACCTACTACAGCCTACTATAGAACCCATTTTCCAATTTCCTTGTCCATTGGATTCTCCATGATCGAAGAAACGAAAATCCTCTTGTTACAGACTACTTGTATTGTTATCGTTATTAGTATTACTACTATTTCAACAATACTGTTATTGAGAATATTGTTACTATCATTACTAACTATTATTCAGAAGGAGAATTCAGAAGTTCTGGCTTTCCAATAGTTGGATCCCTGCTGCCAAGCGCGCAGAATCGCAGCCCAACAGCGGCTCGGGCGCCTGCCGCCGGCGTGGCGTGGGCACCGGGCTGCCAGTGCCTGCCTTGAGTCGTTTCAAATCCAGCTGTAGAAATCACGAATAGTAGTAGTAATAGTAACAATAGTAATAGTAACAATAGCAATAATAGTAATAATAGAAATGCTTGTAGTACTACGTAACAATAATGGTAGTAATAGTTTGAAGTGATTTGCGGATTCTAGTGTCTGCTGGCGTGGGAAGGACGAGCTTCAAGTTCGCATTGCTGAGTGCAGGGCTGGTGGGCACGCCTGGGAATAATTCTCCTCACTGCGAACCTAAGCTGAGGAGATACCACGGCTTCTGGCTCCAACAAGTGACAGAATCCAGGCATTTGTCTGGGTTTCTTGGGTAGTTGCCAGGTTGCGGTTATGTTTGGAGTCTCGACAGCGCTGCAGTTTGCACGTGCTTGTGTGTCAACTTCGTAGTTTCTATCAACTAGAGGGCACCAACCTAGACCCCAAAATATTTCAGTCCTTAGGATCGGGGCCCCAACGTGGACCCCAAAATAGTTTGGTCCCTAGAGTAAGGGCCCCCAAAGCCCCGTTTTGCCTGGGGCCAGGCTTGGTCATGGTGGCACGACAAGAACTTTGCAGTGCGCCCAGATCAGCTTGACGAACGCTCTCGATGGGAATTCCTTCGGAAAAATAGGGATACATCGGGGTTATATAGGGTATAATATAGGGGTTATTAACTGCAATCCCTACACTTCCACTTTCTCTCTGCACCCTTTCGTAGGCCATATCATAGACCCGAACCCATACCCTTACACAAAATCCCAGAGCACCCCCCCACTAGAAACTGAACCACCGGATCTTACGACTCACCCTAGACCATCCCAAGACTCAGAAAAACACATAGCAGGCATCCCGAAACCCCTAAGGTCAGAAAATGGAAACGGTCATCTCTAATAATCTATGATGGGAATAATGTTTAGTGCAAGAGGTTGTTACTCACAACTATGACTCTTCTGGTTCACCATGATGCAGTTTGCCACTCTTGCGCCGTCGACCCTTATTCCTATTATAGTTGTTTTATTCGAATATGCCTTTTCCATTTTCTCGAGATAGGGGGTTTCGGGTTGGATACTACTGGTTTTCTAGGTAGTTTGGGCATGCTATGCGGTTAAGTATGCTATTTTGTACGGGGTTGCCTATGGTTTCTTCAAGTGGGTTCTTCAGATGGGTTTTCTAGTGCGTCTGCTAGTGGTTTGTAGGGGTGGGTCAGGGAAGTTTTCATCGTACGGGTGTTCGGGTGGGCTAGGGGGGCGTTCATGGTTAGTGCACATGATCTCCACTAACTTTTTAAAGGGTCCCCGTGTAAGAGGTTCCTGTTCTGATTCCCCACAGAAGCTCCGAGATCTCCGAGTGGCCTGTTTTCCACACTGAGGGCTTCGTCAGCTGCCGCCCCGGGTACTACGCCGCAGCGCCGCGCATGCTCTCGTCTCAGAATCCGATGTATTCCTAGGAACATGTGTCAGAAGTTCTGGACCTATACAACCCTGTGTAACGGAAAAAGAATTGAATTTTTCTAGAGCCCCTAAATCTATCCCAGAACATTGTGCAAAGGCAGGGAGCTTGAGCTTCTTCAGGTTGTGGGACCTAGAAAAGCTGCCCAGGGTAGTCGACAGATGGGCTCAGCTAGTGCAAGGTCCGGTGGGAAGTCTTAAGCAAGAGGAGGTCCCCAGGCCCAAGGCCGCAAACGAAGTTTTAATGCTTCGTGCTGCATGTCTTCTCCATGCCCAGGCCCCACAGGCATTCCACAGTCACATGTAGCACCATTTTAACGCCAACATCCTGATAATATTTTTGCCCATGTTACTCGTGCTCGATCCTTAATGCTGGCGACCTTGCCCAACCCCACCCCGAATGGCAGTCTATACAGGGCACAGTCTCAAAACTGCCTTTGTTCAGGTAAGGAGTTGGAATTACTCTGCCCAGTCAATCTGGAGCAGAGAAGAATGTCGTTTGCCAAGGCCTGGAAGAGATTCCGGAGCCATGCGTTTATGCCAATGGACTCTGGCTTGCCAGCGCCGCATACCCTGGGTCTGTGGCGATGGAGGCTCTAGGGGAAGCCTGGAAAATTAGACTGCCAAGTTTTATCCTGAATCCCCAGATGATCCCTATAAAGCCATAAGACATAAGTTCCATAGGGCCAAACTAGCCCTCCAGCCCTGCAAGGCAACAGGACGTGTTTGACAGTCATCCCCCCAAGTTACCTGTGTCAGATGTGTGCGTGACATTGTAGAGCAGCTGTGCACCGTGAAAAAGCAATACTCTAAATCTAGAATTGATTTTGACCAAGCAACGCGCGGTAGCCTGGAAAGTCACATCCACTTGCTACAACTTAAGCCAGCCATCAAGTCTAGTCAGACGTTCATCTTGACATCAATTCCTACAGATCTCCGGCAGCTTAGCAATGCCCTATGAACGACGAATTTCCACGAGTAGACACAGCCCATGGCTTCATTCAGGTTGGCATTACCGCTCGGGTGGACGACTTTTGGGATACTGGCGGCTCACGAAGTGCGGGCCTCAAAACCTTCGACGTGGGCAGCTCCAGCTGGCTGTCAGCCCGCCCGACAAAGTATCAGCAGATATCAGAAGCGTTTGCTTGAGCTTACATAGAGCTGGATTTCGCAGTGCTTACTAGCATTATGAGTTCTTTAGTTTCTGAGGTCTCTCTTTCTTCAGGCTAGATGTTGCATACCGCAGTTGTTGCATGCTTCGCAGCTGTGTCTGCTTGCAGCCACTTCCCACAAGGTCACCCGTCACCACTGTCACCACCATTGGCCACCAAAACATTTGCAGGGACACTCGGAGGAATAGCTGAAAGGATTGATATGACAACATGAAGAGTGAATGGAATGCTGAACTCCCTTGGCCTGGACACCTTAAAGCTCCGAAGCAAATGGGTGGCAGCCTTCGACTACGACGATTTGACGCAGGCCATCAGCGTTCTGATGTTGTGCCTATGTGAGTTCTGCTTAGGTATATTGTCGCAGTAACCTGAAGCTTCCAGGACCTGCAGTCGTACAGTCACACCTATTCAAAGTGCTTACAAAAGAGTCTTCAGGGTCAGTGGAGCAAGCTCTGCTCAGAAAGTTTCAAGCGACTGAGCATATTCCCACGGAAGCTAGCTGGGGTATTCAGTCGTTTTTGAAGAATTATGGACCGTAAGCCATAATTCCTGCATAATCGCCCAGCTAGGGGTAGACAGGTGGTAAAGAAACTTCAAGCGTGTCTGCAGGAACCTGAGCACGCACAACACGTAGGCATCCTACATCACGTGTATGTGGGGGTTGATGTACAGGTCCTTTGTGGAAATTGCGCTGGGTTACTATAGGTCGTCCATAAAGCAAAATACAGGGTAGTTTGTTTTCCATCGTGACTGCAGTGGGATCAGGAAGTTGGATACAACTACCATGTGGACTTGTTGTGAGTATGACTGGGGTGATTTCTGGGCAAAAACTCTGATTATTATGGGCCGCGTCCCCATGTAAGTTTATATAACCCAGAAGAATGAAATTTGAGTAGCGCCCCCAGACCCACCTTAGATGCAGGCAGCCAGGAGTGGCCATTCAGGTTTTGCACCCATCCAATTCTTCAGAACTCCACTGTCTGTTTGCACAGGATGCAATAGCATCAATGGATCCCACCGTCCGTGCTCTCTTAACAAGACCGGTAGTTCTTTTCCGTTATCCCAAATGTAACCCCAATATATACCCCATTCTACTATAGTACTTTTCGATCATCCCTGGGGACTCCTGAGCGCCCGTGAACTTCTGTCCCCAATCGGTCCTGCACATTGAACGCAGCCGTGAAGGCCCTTATGCCCATGGGATGCAGGGCTTCCCATCCTTGTTGAAGTTGTTTGCGGAAACGTTCTGGTGCCTAGGGTCCAAGTAGTCAAGATTGCTTTCAAATATGCGGCCAATTACCTCATGCTCCCTGACTGGCACAGATAAAAGGTCGCCTCGCAACTTTGGGAGTCAGGCTTTGATGCATGGATGCAGGGCGGACATTGTTGAGCAGAAGTATGTGAAATGGAGCATCTTTTCACTTGAGGGCGCATCGCTGACAGAGACCAATCCCTTCAGTCCATGCTGAAATGTGCCGAGGTATGCCTGGGGCTAGCTAGTGACTAGCTTCTCATTATCTAGACAATAATACATCCCTATATATTCCCTCTAAACCCATAAAGGGATAATTTATATTGGGGTTCAGATCCTTCCCAGTATGCAGATATGTCTCCAGGGGTGTCTGTAAGGGTCTGGCGACTTTCTCCGCGCTGCTGGGCTTTGTGAGTGACATCGGGGCCATTCAGAGTTGACATCCACACTAGCTACGGACTAAAGTTGGGCTGGTTGGACCTACAGGGGAATATGCAGGGGGTACATAGCGGCACCTGTTATGGAATTTACTACCACACCGATAGTCCAGGTTTGCATATTCATGCCAGCAACATGGTATTATGCTTCTACTAGCAAACCTACCCACACCCACCTTACCAGTACCCTTACTTACAGAACAACACCATCCCACGCGCTATGATTCCTGCCGCGGAGCAATGGATACATTCTGCTCCCCAATTCCAGCTTCCTCTGGGAGATGGGTGCCTTGGCTACCAAAGTGTGCTGCACATTCCATCACTGCGCGGGCTAAGTGGTAGTTTTCATGAATAAGGAGACCCCACTATAAGACCCCACTATAGACCGCAAAATATCATAAGCTTGAATACCTCCAAAAGAGGCCCAGTATTTATTGGAAACCCTAATCTTTTGCCTGTTCAGATCCCAAAATTTACCCTATTTGTAGTACTTTCCATTTCCTTTCCATTATTCCCCCATATCCCTGTATATTATCCTTAAATGCCCCGCTGATAAATACCCCCTTGATATTCATTGCCTAACCCCTTTATCCCAGGCCTTGGGAAGCGCGGCCGGCCAGGCACCGTGCAAAAGCGAGCGCTCGCTTAGACCACAGTGCCTCGCACAACAAGTCCTAGGTTGTTAGGGGTCTGGGTTTTAAGGTTTAGGGTTTAAGGTTGAGAGTTTAGGGTTTAGGGCCCCCTACTATATTACAATAGGCTATATTGGGATTATATTGGCATTATACAGGAATGGGTCCTGGTTGTAGTAACATCATCAGGTTCTCCAGATGGGGCGCTGCCCTCGGCAGTTCGTTGCTGTTTGCGCGGCTGCCGCGGATGCCCCTTCATGCTGGCTTGAAGTCTCTGAGGAAGAGGGAGTCTGGGGCATCCCTGGGGAAAATCTTGATTGAATAGACATGGGCCATCATCCCTATACAATCCCTATGGAGCCATGCGAATCTAATTCTCTTAGAGTCCCTGATTCTATACCAGTGTTGGAGTGGGGGAAGCCTCCATTCATAGTGCAAGCCTTGCTACATGTCTTGTCCTCCCGTCTTGCTCATGCTGGGGTTCATGATTCTTCTATAAGGCTACATGGAGTCCATCAAGGGTAATGAAAGTTCGCAGCCATGCTTTATCCTCTGTAGTGAGGACCCAGCTTGGCAGACGAAAAGGTGCTCAATGCGTACGGCAAGTAGTGGGAGAAGAAGGCCTAGCGGACTTCCTTGAGGAGCATGGGTTTTGCCAACCTCGCTGTCAAAGGCCCTTGTGTCGTTTCTGCTGCAAGCTCGGCCTGCATATAGTCCCCTTAAAGTACTTAGGCCCCAATAAAGAGTAGTTGGAGATTCCAGGAACAGATTCTCCTGACCGTGGTCTTGCTGCCTGAAGGAGCTGGACCGCTCCGATCCTGGCCGGTCGGGATTGCGAAGCGAGTGGGCTGTGGCCGGAGAGGCACGTAAACGGGGGTTTCCAAATAGATAGGAAATTTATTGAGGTCCTATTAAAACGGTTACAGGTACAGGGAGTGTTCAGGTTTTCCATGAGTTAGGGGTCCCAATTTGTGGCGTCCCAATGAAAAGGCCTATTGTACTTTGGGGTCGCAGAGAGTCACAGGTGATGGAGAGTCAATTCATCTTTCGGGGCCTTTCAGGTCCTGTTCGAGGAAACCACGCCGGCCAGCGGACTCGTGCGGGTTACAGGCTCGGGCGCCAGCAGCGGCGGCTCCTGGCGACGTTTGCGCTTCAACGGCAACACGGAGCAGAGCGTGCTTCTCGTGGATGCGAGCAAGCAGGCTGCTTCCGTACCTGATGTCCCTGCTCCCCAGCTGGACAATTGCCACCTTCCACTAGAAGGGTATCAACCAAAAGTTGAAACACGCCCTCAGTGCGACTCAGACACTTTCCCCGGTATATTTCTGGCAGAAGGTTCAATTATTATGGCCCAATGGTCCAGAATCCCTGTATGTGTTTTTTGTATAAAGCGCCCCTGACTGTACTCCGAGTCCTGGAAGGTACCGGAGTATGGAGCCTTGGCCTTTGGCTATCTGAAGTCTTTGGCTGCCGTTGGTGCATCAACTGCCAGGGCACTGGGAAGACGCTGTGGCGAAAACCGGAAATCTTTCCCCAGGGCTCTAAGGATCCAAATACTAATAGCCCAATGTAGGGTTTAGGAGTGGTTTAAGTAGTATTTATAGACTTTAGGGCCCAATGTAGGTATTATGTATAGGCTTTAGGCCTCATGTATGTATACACCTCAGGGCCCAAACTAGGCATAATTTGAAGACTTGGATCCCTGGGACTTTGGATTGACAGACATCTCTAGTTGTTGCACGGTTGGTGTTGTCCCCCAAGACGCGTAGTGCAAGGATTGCTTATTCTCTGATTCTCACGCAAATACTTTCTGAAATTCTGTGGATCACAATCCCTATAGAACCCTAATATAACCCAAAAGAATTTGACTTTTACACGGATCCTAAATCTAGTCCAGTCTTGCTGCAATCCTCAGACATGGGGACCCAGGACCTTCAACGCTGAGGGTCCTGGTCATTGGAGTCGGCCTCGGCGCACTTCCCGGCTGGTTCTGCAAGAAGATGAAGGCCCATTTCGTAGTTTCCCTGAAGATAGGGGGACCCCAGTATAGACTCCAATATATTATATAATCCTTATCATGGGGACCCCTAAAAAGCTACTCATAAATGTGGGAAGCCCCCCTTTTCTCAGAAGGCTTAGAAGGTGGGATGAAGGTAGGTGGGCTAAAGGATCCCTACTGCGGACTCCATTATTGGGCCATATTCCCGACACCCCACCTTCCTTTACCTGACCTTCTGAGCCCTCTCCCTTTTTCCCTAGAGTTTCCATTTTCTTTTCCACAATCTCTATATAACCGTGTATTGCCCTATATTCTCCCAATGGGTTCATGAGCCCTCTGAGTTTGAAAGGAGAGTGCGTGAAGAATTATGAAGAGAGATTACCGTCTGCTTGCCATGAAAGGGCAATGGCATCCTTGTTCTTGGTATATACCATAGCACATTATAGTATAGTATATTACGGTATATTTTTGTACATTATAGTATATTATAGAATATTATGGTATATTTCACTGTAGTAGGCCCCTGACATCCGACCTTTTCAGAATCGTTTTCCTCGCGCTGCTTGCACACACCAGCACTCTGGGAAACTGTGGGTACAAGAAGGTGACGAGGGTTGAGCTTCTCCTTTCAGCGGTCTCCTTACCGCATGACACGTTTGCAGAAAGCTTCTCCAGATCGCTAAAGTCAGGCACCCTTCCATGTGCGGAGCCCGTTGCCTCATCACAATAAGACAAGATCCAGGAAAAACGCTGTCTTGTGAAACAAAAATCTACGGTATCTTGCGGAGGCAGCTGTGGATGCTGTTGAGCTTGACTCCTGTCCGACATTTTAGCAAATTTTTTTGGCTCTGGGATATTCCTGGGAACAGTTGTTGAGTGTCACGGACCATACCCATATGATCCCATATGTTGAGCATATAGACATATATATATATACATACTATCTATATGTTATGTGTATGTTCCCTACTAAGGCCAAACACCTCTAGGGAATTATGGAAGAAAACGGAAGCTACTGTAGCGTTTAGGGCTTGAGGGGCTTAGGGATCCAGAGCGGCGCCATGCACTTGAACACACAATTTGTGCTTTTCGTGACCTCGCACAGTCGCCTGTGCTTGGGATACTCTAGCAAGGCAGATTCTCACAGCGGAGCCATACTCTTCCATGAAGCTCACGTGTATTGTTGTTATTGCTACTACTACACCTACTATTGCCTGTAAGATTATCAGTTACAACTACCATTATTGTTATATTGTTGTTGTCATTATGTGGTCTCCATTATCGGTACTGTCCCGCTGAGGATCCAGCCGTGCTGCGAGCTGCCTCGGCGGTCGGCGGGATCCCCGCGGGAGCTCTCCGCAGCGCAAGCAACGCAAAGGAGCGCCTGGGCAAGTTTGACAGCCTCCAGTCGGCCTCCTCGGCCAGACCAGGTCAAGAGCTTTCATGTCAGCATTTGGGGCTGTGAATGGTTGGATCACCAATTCCCTTCTTCATGTTTGGGTTGAGATCAAGAAGCGCGTTGCGGCGTTGCGGGATGGCTGAGAGCAGTAGATGCACAGAGATTGCCTAAGGCATCCCTTCGAACATGGATTCCTTCAGTTAGATCTCAGGGCAGATTCTTTGTGATCCAAATTGCAGGATCAGGCAGAAACTCTCTGGGCTCCTGCCAGGCGATTTGGCACTTTGTCTGTCCAAAGGCACTCGCAATCGTAACTAACAGTGCTTTCTTTCGCATCTCAGCTTAGCTTGTAGGATGTTCACCCATACCTGTTCTTTTACACCTGTTCTTTTACAGAGCTAGTAAGATTCTGGTTGAGCCCAGTATTGGGGATGTGTGGTTTTCAAGATGGTGTCCTGCAAGTGTTGCAGCCAACTGCTGCATGGCTTACTGCGCCGTAGCTTCTAAGCCGTAAGCCTAAAAGTCCAACCCTCTAAGAGCTCCTTCTTTGGCAGACTTTGCTTATATAGATTGACACCAGGTGTGCAGCAGACGCTGCTGAGCATCTCGAGTCCCAAAGCTTGCGCGTGCAGCGTGTCAGCACGTGGCAGACATTGAGCATGAGGATGTAGCCCTTACATGACCCCTGCAAAACCACATACAACGCCTATATGCATTTGTGACTGTGGCTCCTCACATAGTCGCCACTCCACGCCCGTGGAGGAGGAACACCCGAATAGATCCGAATAGCTGCTGCGCTTCAAACGCTGTCAGCTTGGCATAATATGATGACCTCACCCGACCTCATCTGAAAGTGCCAAGCTTACCTTGCTTCAGTCTTCTACTGGCCAGTGCCAATTCAAAATCAGCGAAGGTATTGCTGCGACGGTGCGGAGACGCTTACCTGAACGAGGGAAAGACTGGAAAGGCCTTTAGAATTCTTTGGTGGAGTCAGGCTTCCCCAGGTATTCGGAATGTTGTTGTTCATGATAATCGACCATAATCCCTATATGTGTAGATAGATAAGCGGATAAGTATATATATATACATATTATATATATATGTATATTTGTACACACACCTGATAATACGGCCCCCAAATATATCCCAGAGGCTTCAGTTGAGACGACGCGTGTTTTGACAAATGCAGATTCACCTGTGCAGTGATTGGTGTTGTCAAGCCCTTCGCCAAAACACTGCCCAGAGCGATGGTGCTGCCTTGGTTATGTAGCTGTGATGACTGCCCGCACTGCTTGAGCATCTCGCCTCCTGGTGTAGCAAGACTCGGTTGGACCCAGCGCTTGAGAGTTTGTCGTCAATGCCTGCAAATGCACGGATCTTAAAAGAGTCATTGAACTCCAAGAAGTGCAAAGACCGATCAGAGCATCGCGAAATGGTTTAGCGATGTTGCGTGCGGATTCTGGAGTGGAGATAACATAGAGATGATCTTGCCTGACAGCAAGATACAGAACTTAGCGCATCCAAATCAGAGAACCTCTCAAGGCCATGAGAGGGCAATATGCAGTGCCAGAGCAGGGTGGGTTGCCAACAGGTACGTGGCCGCTGCGCAGACTCAGGGACTCCGCAGCTTTCCTGCAATATTGCATAGGCTGTTAAGGGGCAAGTTGAAAGGATTTGCTCTGTTTTCTAGCGTTGGCCCTAGAAATCGATCTCTGCGGTTGATGTGAACCAAGACCCTCCTGGTACTGTAATTGGGGATGTAGAATACCTAGTGGGCACACAGGCCTGTTGACTCCTTGCTTGCGGCTCAGCCGGATGTCTCCTTCATCCCGCTAAGCCGGCTAAGCTCACGCGGTTTAGGGTTCAGTAACTATGCGGACCTCCAAGAAGGTAATCCATTTTTGGAAAGCCCGAATTCCTTTCACAAATTTGGGGACTTGGGCAAAGCCAATTCAAACCCAACACAAGACAAGCGCTGCCACAGTGAACCGAAATCAACTTACGCTCCTCAGCATCCACCAGCCTGACAGACAGAAACTACCTATTGGAGACGGTTTGCAGATTGCCTATTATTGTGGAAGCTGGGGCGTGCATGGAGCAGGTTATGATCTTGTTGTGGTGGACGTCTTCGATGGGCAAGGAGAAACTCCGCAGGCAGATACTGGCACAAAGTATTCACTAATTAGGGTGACTTAGCTTTCCAGATCTCACCCTATGGGCGTGTGATGCATCCTAAGCATGGTGTATGCTCAACTTGGCAGACTGCGTCAAAGTTAGAACCAAAGCTTACATGGGGCCTTGCGCAGGGTGTGCCAGCTTTTGTGTTGACTCATCATGTTTGAGTGCTTCATCCCGCTTCTCCGAAATTTGGTGAACCCTCAACCCTAGTGTACCCCGTCTGGGTCAAGGGTGCAGGCTGTGCAGAAGGTACCCAGGCTTGCCTGTTGAAGTGAAACTGCACAGGGAACACCTTGCTTTGACTTGTGGCATAATATCTAGGATATTCGTGGGGAAGAATCAGTCACGATGGACCGTGGTCCTTATAGAACCTGATTATGCATACAACCCATGAAAATTAATTTGTCTAGTGCCCCTATATCTATGCCAGGCATCAAGCCAGGCAAGTCGAGAGGTCCCGAGGGTCTTGGCATAGCTCGGATCCAGCTTTAGGGCCTATCACCCAAAGAAGGCTTACTATATAACCTTGGTTAAAATAAACATCTCATGGCTACTCAGCTCATGAGATTTGCTTGGATTCGAATAGGGTTCTGAGAAGAACTGAAATTCAAAAGCTTCATAAACGTAGCTCAACTTGGGATATTGACAAGATTCCTTGTGGGGGACGAAGATGCCGCCAAACCTTGCATGCTGAACTGCGCCAGGCCTTTCTAGATGACGAGTTTGGCGGCCTGACTTATTCATGACACTGCGGGCCTAGACGGGTCACACACACATGATGGCCTGCCCAAGTGGCTGCATGCCATGTGCATGTTTGCGTTGCATAGCGGGAAGCCCACACCCTTTGTCGAAAGCATGAGCCCGCCCAAGACATCGAGTTCCGAAGATCTTTGTGGTAAAGACCAGCTTGTTGTTCAGCAAGCGCTCAAGTTCTCCCTGAAGCCATTCAACACTTGTCGGTTCTTGGTCTCTGCAAGCTGTTTTGTTTTTTGGGGGCTCATTTGCAGGCCTTGTGCCCCAGCCGTGTTTGAGGCACAGCTCTGGGTTCCATTGCGGAGTGTGCGGTTGCCAACCTCACCTGCCCAGCGACTAGGCGTATTGATTTAAGAAAGGTCGGGATTATTTGGGGTTACAGAGGGACCAATAATTGAGAATCAAATGGGAAATGGAAACTTGGATTGAAGAAAGGCCATTTCCTGGCTTGCTGAAGTGTTGTCACTTGCAGAGCAGAAGTTGAGAGCTGGATGTTGGACATGTGTTCAGCGCTGCTCGGAACTTCGCCCTTCGTCGCTGCAGTCCACACGGGGCTCTCTCGGATTCCTATGACGCTTGCGATGCACCGCGACATGATACCGGTGCAGCTGTTATAGAGAAGTCTGACGTCTTCTGCGATGCAACCCACGGTTGGTTGTTTTACTGGCAAGCTTGGGGAGCTGTGCAGAGCATTACAAGGCACGGCAAGCAAGGAACACTCAGCCCCCAACATAACGGTTGACGTGCTGAAATTTTAGGGGACGTCCCGTACCCCGCGGTCTGAAATATTGCAAGGCCAAACCCTCAAGTGCTTGGTAGGTTTGGTGGGGCCAGGAAGGGAACGTCACCCGAAAGAGGTCGTGATGTGGCACGGGGAAAATGAAAACAGACACTAGTCAAAACGGCGTCAAACAGGCTGTGTATCGTTCGTATATGCTCGGATGCAAGCTCGCTGGATTAGGTGCCAATGTGGGACGAAGCTCACGAGTTCAATGCCCCAGAGGCAGAGTCTTGGGCATCGCAGATGTGGAATTGGGAGTCCATCTGTTGTTGCAACAGTGCCGCGATTGGCGGGGCTTCATGGCTATCAATGTGAGTTGGTAAGTTGGCCGTTCTGTTCGTGCACTTCTGTAGGGAAGTTTCCCACACCATGTCATGTCCTGACAACTTTCAAACACGTCTTGACTTGATTCATGGAGTTCAGACCCCCGTATAATTTGACGATCCCGCCCAAGTCCTGGCTCCCTAACCACAATGCTCTGCCTAGGGCTTCTGCATTTTTTGCGTGCATGCACTGTGGATTCGCATGACAGGCCGCCTCTCTTGTTGCGGCGTGGCGGCGGGGATTCGGCGCTAGTGCTGGAGCTGCAGCCTTGGTAGGTGGTTGAGACCTAAGAATCGTTTCCATTACTAGGGGGGACCCCAATATGAACCCCAACAATTACATGGTTCTTGTTATGTGGAACGTCGCAGATGGCTGCTAAGCGGGCAAACGTAAACGTCACACCTTACTGTAGCTTCTAAGGTGTGGAGCGTCCGTGTCGCGGAGGGCCAGAACCTTTGCTGCCTTCTGATTGAGTTCTTGACTTGCTTGTTCTTGCGTTTCGCAGCCCCTAAGCCTAGAGACCGAGCCGAGCGTTCAGTTCCGGGATCAAGGGAGCACAGCTTGAGCTCAGGAACATCATCCCCGCCGTCACGCCCGTGGGCTGTCCCCCCGCCTCGTGCCAGCATGAATCAGTGAGGCACAGTTATTACAAGTCTATAGAGAAACCTTATGCCCGGTACTTGATCTGCAGCAGGAACAGGACGGCACAATATGAAGCCAATCGTACTTATACAGAGCATGGATGCCGAAGCCGAATTCCTGGACGCTGCAAAGCTCGAGAAAAGAAGCTTGCAAGCCTTTGACGGCCCTCAACCGATCCTGCAAGGAAGAGTTCCTGGTCCAAGCCGCCCAAGAGCTGGCTCGCACAGGGACCTTCGCCATTTTCTCAGCCAATCTGGGGGTGGGTTTGAAATCCTTCAATGGCTTTCATTACCCCTAATTCCCGTGCAATCCCCATAAGACCAACAGATGCTTTTATCGGGTCTCCACACCTACCCTAGACATGTTGACGCGAGTAAGCATTCACTTCACCGAGCCTTGACCAGCATTGGCTTCAGTTCAGGAGACCTGTCCAGTACCTGAGGCCTTCGACCCGGTGCGCAGGGTGACTTTTCGGCGCCGAGACTGGCCATGAGCAACAAAAGCGTGCTGCGCTTCTACAAGGTATAACTAAAGGCCGCGCTGAGGTATCAGAAGCTCGGGGCAGCATGTTGGTGCGTTGGAGGTGGTAGCGTCTAGCTGCCGAGTCATGAGCTAGATTATGCGAGATCATGATGCAGCAGTTGTCCATGATGCCTGCCCCATACTTGAAAGCCCAGGGTATTTAGTAAGTGTGTTGTGAATGGGGCTGTAAGTAGGCCAACCCCCAATTAGGGACTTTTACCCCCACATATAATCAATCTACTTACGAAGTCCCCTGAGCCTCTAAGTACCACGCCCTGGACACAGGGGTTTATCCCCAGGATGCCATGATGGAATTAGCATAAGAGAAGCTGTGTACTTGTGGGCTGTGAATTTACAGGGTCTCATCGGTTTGCCCCGCGCCGACCTCAAAGATGAAAGGCTGAACCTTGCGGCTGGTCCGGCTCGAGACCAATGTTGTGAATAGTTATAGCGCTTTATGAAGACACGGATGGAGAAGCTATTCTCCTTCTCAGAGACGGATGGACGAATTCGATGACTTCGACATTCAGGATTACGCGCACTGCATTGAGTCTGCCAACCTTGGCGTGCACTACAGGCCAGAACGGGCGGAAGACTTGCGATGAACTTCATTTGCTTTTCCGTTTAACTCGCCCTTATGAAGGTTATAACCTCACGACACAATCCCATGTAAGTCCTACATAATGCCCGTGTTATACCCCTATTGACCGATCTAACCCTGTACAACTTCTTGCTGAGCTGGCTGTCGGTCTCGACTAGCTATGAAATGCAAGTCTGCGACACCATCTCTACAGGAATGGCCCATCCAGCCCTGCAAGCTGCTGAGCTAGAATTGATGGCGTGTGCCTTGTGTGGCCTAGGCAGGAGGAGAGCGGAAAAGCCTCGATTGAAGCGCGCTCCTCCTGCTGAAGTATTTGCCGAGGCTATCGCTCCGATGACTTGCAGGCGGTGTCCAAGATGGTGCAGAGCCCTACCAGTCCCAGCGCGGGTCAGGGCCGCAACCAGGAGCGCTCTGGAGCACCGTGCATCTTTGTTCCCAGTCCTATGCAGGCCCCCTTATAACCCCAATATAACCCCCTATATGAACCTATATGTCCCTTTAAAGGGACCTCGGGTTTCCATTTTCTTTTCCACTATCCCTATATAACCTTGTTTAACTTTCTTCCCCCGAGGAGGCCTCATGGCAGTCCTGGGCGCCATGGCGGGGAAACTGTTTGCGAAAACCGAAAAACTCTGAGGGGGGTTTCCCAAAATTATGGGTACCCTTTGAAGGGGGGTTATATAGGGGCAATACAGGGATAATGGAAAAAATGGAAGCTACTATTGAGTCTGAGGTTTTGTGGTTTGGATTGGAGAAGTTCCACTGGTGTTTCAGGGCTTGTCCAGTTCCAATATGCAAATGCAGGAGGCGATCTACAAAGGTTGCAGGTGTCACCTTCAAGTTCGCTTACACCTGCTCAATGTACAGTCTAGTCAGCCAGCTATGCAATATCTCGATGAAGAAATGCAAGCACTTCAGCACAGAACGCTTTGCTGAGTCAGACGAAGCTGGACAAAATCCTTCTGCCAGCTGAACATACCTGCCAGAAACTCACTAGATCCCTGTGTTACAGTTGCAACGCGCGACCTCACTGTCCTACAGGCCCATGAACAGAGCGCTGTTTGAGGCTTTAGGGGTCAGGCATGCTGGAGTCAAAAACCTCAACATCAAAGGCTAAGAAGTCTCTGGCATACAGGATTGAAACAGCAGTGCCGTCAAAAGCATCCAAATTGGGCTGGCAAAGAGGGGTGGATGCTTGAAACGCAACGGCCGCGAGGACTCCACTAGCTGTTTTTTGCAGAATACGCTGCCCGAGGACCTTGAGATTACATGATCATTTCATGGGTTCCCGTACTACCCCCCTTTTCACTTCCGCCCCGCTAGGTTGCCCATTCACTACACATAATGGATAACTAGGGACGGGAAACCTGGGGTAGTATGGGGGGATAGTAGAAGAACCCATGATGCAAACTCCAGCCTGAGGTGCCGCTTTGGATGCGATGGCCTAGATTTTGGACAGTGCTGTTCATCATCTCGGCTATAGCGCTCTGTCTTGTTGGTGTTGCAGTCATAGAATCAACTCTGTACGTTTGCAGGAGGTTCCAGGGTCATTGCGTGCTGCAGCGCAGCTTGCCTTGCGCCAGTTTTTTAACCGCCCCAGGTGCAGGCTAGGTATGTGTGTGTTTGTGTCAAAGCCTCGAGGTTAGTCTTGCGATGCTTTAGATGACTATCTTGAATGCTCAGTGGGACTCGGACTTGGCTTTCGAACATTATGCTGAAATGCATTAACACGCGAGGCAACCGTTCAGGTTGTGGGGCCTTTGCAATGTCTCATGCTACCAGGTGGGCGTCAGCGTGTACAACGTCAGCGCTTCCGACGCATCCGTCGCTTAGATCCAAGTCACAAACAATGTTCCATTTGCTACAAACAAATCAAGACTCGCTTCAGCTTCAAAAAGAGCAGGTGTTGCTCCGAGTAGCAGGCCGTGACCGCAAACGCGATCGTCACCATGGATTTTGTGATGATTCAGAGGTATGTAAGTTGGACCAAAGCGAGAATGCGAAGGCATTTGCCATATAGCTTAAGGCTTGGCCCCCTACATTCCTCCACCTGGTATGCATTTAAACGTACTGTTGCCAAGGTGAAGATTCATACGCGCGAGGCTCTGCTCGATCTCACGAAGACTTTCGGAGGTCGGCTGGCTGTGATAAAAGCGCTTAAAGGGGTTTATATAGGGGATTATATAGGGGAGTATGATGGGGGCCATTAAGGGGCATATACTACCTCTGCGGGCTTTAGGGCATCACATTTTGAAGTGCAGCTTGGGGTCTGCTGGCCCCTGTGGGGGCCTTTCGTGTCTTGGGAACGATTAGGACTTTGCTTCCATGTGCCCGGACAGGGTAGCTAGGCTGGTCTGCTATGTGCTTGGCTCGTCTAGCATCCAGGCATCAGGCCTAAACCTAGGGCTTTAAATTATCCAAAGTACGCATTATCTACAGACGCCAGGCTCCAATGTAGGTATTGTTTATACACTTGTGGCCCAACGTATGTATTCATAGGCTTAGATCCCCCGGGTAACCTCTTACATCTTTCCGGTCAGCCAGCTTTCAGCAGCCCCAGTCCCTTGGCCCAACTTTATGTGCATCCCTGGCCGGGCCATACCTTATTTGGCAGTCCCTTCTGTGAGAAAGAGCAAGGCGTTATCCGCACCTGCAATGAATCCCGGACTGCTAGGTGAAGTGACACGCCAGCTCCGCACCTCCGCAAGCTCAGTGCAGGCACAAGCCGACGCCCCTAGGTGCTCATTCCTGTCGCGTCTTGCAGTGTGCAGGCTTCTTCCGCACAGACTCCCAACTTCCCAACCTCAAACCTGTAAGACCAAGAATGTCTGATGCATTCACCTTCAGGCCCTGGAAGCCATCATTCGCATAGACGAGCCTTGCCTGAGTACTGGAATTAAAGTCTTCGCAATTGCCCCGCGATGCGCGCCTATGCTTGGATGCAGCTCCAAATTCTGGCTGCGCATACCTTTGCAACTCCCCTGAATAGATTAGATGCGCTTAGCCGAGTCGGACGACGTTGGACGTCTCGACAGCAATATGCTGTGCCTTCTCACATCCTATCGGGTCCGGACATGCATCCAGCACTGGCATGCCCTACATAGTTTAGGTGCAGAAACTCCAGACAAGCAACAACCGGACCTTCCCTTAAAGGGGCCTCGAAAAGCATGGAACGCGAGAAAAGCAACGCGGATGTTCTGGCAGAGGGACTCAGGCTCCACCCTTGCGCCCTCGAGGAGTCTGATTAAGCCTGGGATTTTTCTTGCCGCCGCGCCTGGTTTGACTTTATGCTTGTGATTGAGCTCCCAAAGCTATCTGCCGGCCCTGCTTGTTGGGCAGCTTGGTAAGATGTCTCATCGGAGGCTCGCGAGAGTTGCAGCAGGGCCTAAGCTTCTCGACTCTAAGACTCTAAGACTCAAGGCCCCGAAGACTTTTTAGGGGTTGGCGTTGATGACTCACACGTGGCAGCGAGTGGCAAATCTGTGCTTGAGGGCCCGCCGCTGCTTGAGGCCTTAAAGGCTCGGATTTGGAACTTGTTCGGGAGGTTCGCTCCTTCATTTGGTGGTTTAATTTGGTTACGTTGCTTGTTTATTGCAGCCAGCATTTGCAAGACACATGAGGCACTTCTCTCTTTTCCGTTCGAGCATAGTGTATGGCATCATATGCTTAGGAGATCGGCATCACCGCTGCGAATTTTGATAGCTTGGCAGTGCCCTGGCATGCAGGCCTCAGACAATTCAGGGATCGCACATGTGTCAAGTTGCGTACCCAGGGTGAAGGTAGGGGCCGAAGGCCTTGTCAAAACTTCCACTTCTTGCCCCAGCGCAGACTGAAGGATTGTGCTCCGTTCTGTACTCACCAAGCAAGCCAAAGCTCAGCATAAACTGCCTGGTCGCAGTGCTGGGTCTTGCAATCTGTGCTTAAGAAGCCGAGGACACACTCATCAGGACGTACCAGGGAATCTCAAACCTGCAGTTGGCACCCTCGGGGCAGATTGAGCGCATATATCCGCTCAAGGACGACACCCAGGACCATCTTACACATTGACGGAAGGATGAGCAGTTTCTTTGGGTTTGGAACATTTGCTGCATCGCTGCCATGCTCGCGGTCGCCTTGAACAGCTTTTCTGCAGCCATGGCATGTGTCTCTCCCAACCTCCCCCTGAATCCTCAAGCATGGGGCCGTCACGAAGCTGCTGTGCTGCAGGATAACACGCCTGCCTTGGGATTAAATCTTCTGGTACATCCCTCCCACAAGGCAGGAATGATCCGGAATTCGCGGGCTTAAGGGCAGTATTACCTTCTGCATGTTGGTTCATAGAAGCCAGCGCCCTGTATGCTTCTTAGGAGCGGATATCAGCCATGTTACTCTTACGTCAGAAGCAATTTGACTTGGCAGGGAAGACTTCTTCCAGCCTGAGCCCAAAGACATGTGGGTATTGTATTTGGGTTCCCATTATAATACGGGTCCCTATATACATTTCCCCCATTTTGGGAACAGTAATTTAGGGAAGCTTCCATGTAATCCTTGTGTCAAAACCTTAAATATCTGGACCCCAAGAGTACATACAACCCAATGGGCTATTGTTCTATTTGCAGTGCCCGTCTCTCGCAGTATCATGGCTACGCTCAGGGTTTCCGAAAATTAGGGATTGTTTTAGGATTGTACTCTGGAAACCCACCCTGGATCTCTCAAAACTGTCGTTTCAGATTTCGCGGCACTCCAGGATCTTCATTCGTGTTGACATCTTCATCCCTTCCACTGCAGTTGCTTACTGGTGGTTGGTAGGGAACGAATACGAGAATATGTATATTCCCTGGGTCCCTTGTTCCCTACTAACCACCAGTACGTTGAGCTGTGATTACCAGTAAACTGTTCGGTGCCTTACGGACTGAACCTTACTTGCAGGTTCCTGCGACTTAGTGACTACTTGCAATTGAGGCTATGTATGGGAGTTGCTTTCCCCAAACAGGGGGTTCATTCGTGGGGTCTCTATATCAAGGATTTTAGCATTTTGGGATCTATGTTGGGGTCCCCCTGTTCAGGGGAACTGCCACATAACTACAACCCAGCTAAATGTATTTACGAAATCCATTGGGCTTCTAAGCACGCGCCAACACAAGCCCTCCAGGCAGAGGCAGTCGCGTCTGTGCTGGAGAGGAGGACCACTGCCGCTGTGCCTGCTTGAGAGCAGGACAAGGGTTAAGGGTTTAATGGGTACATAGGCACGTATTAGGCTCATCAAGGGGCCATTAAGGGTGGACATAAGGGTGTCTTTGGGAGTTTAGTAGAGTCCCGAAACATTCCCTAATAAAGAACCAACATCCATTAAATTATGTAGGAAACACTGACTGCAGCTCATATGGGGATGTCACTCCAATAATGGAGAATCAAATGGACAAGAACATCGAACATAAAATGGAACCCGGGGTTTATAGGCACAGGAATATATATGGTCAGGGGTAGGCTTGAACAAATGACCCTTAAGTCCCTATATTGCCGCAAAAGCGACCCTTATAGGGCCCCGCAACCTACCCTAGTTACCCTAGTTGGGGCTACGAGGCGTCGGCAACGAGGTAGTGTGCTTCGCCTTGATATGTTTACAGATTCGCTCATGTTTATGCAAGGGTTGACTGTGCGGTCCAGATTTGTGACGTTGGATCGCCTCTGTCTGCACGGGGATTGCGTGACTCTCAAGACCTCAAAGCATCACAGCAAAATGCGCTCAGGCGCATGCCCCTAGCAGAGCCCATTCGAGCTCTCTAAGTGAAGCATGCAAGGCCCATAAGATCTGCGACTAGCCAAAGGCCAACTGAGCTTTAATTAGTCAGAGCCTTGTTCAAGTCAAGATTGCCTAAGGAAAAGACTAGGTTGCATACGCATCATCAGGCAGAGCAGACTCGCTAAATTGATCCATGCATTACAACAGCCTCACTTGTTCCCATGTTCCTGGGCAGATTCCCAGCCCACGAATCCTGCAAAGCAAAATTGCAGACCAAGTCAGACCCTTTGCACTTGCTCAAGGCTGCCTTTGTTCCAGCTCAGGTGATTGGCCCACTTCGGCTGCTGCAGGGAGGCAATGCCCTCATTGTTCGGCACCCCATCTTCTCAGCCTATGCATCCTGGCAACCGTGAAGTTCATCCCTGACCATGCCACAGCAGCAGTAGTAGCAGCAGCAGCAGCAGCAGCAGCAGCAGCAGCTGCGGCAATGTAAGAGTAGAAGGTAAACGCAACATTTCACAACGCCGCCTGCACAGCGCGTACCCTGGATACACTTCGGACTCTCGAGAAGCCTGTCATCAGAATCATGCAGTGGGGCACTCAACAACTTTAAAAACATGTGCAATTGCACAAAGGTGCATTGCAAGCTCTCCAAGGCAGTTTTCATAGATAGGGGCACCCCAATATAGACCCCCGAATACCATGACCCCAAAATGGTACCAACTACCTCTGGGAAGCCCTGTTCTAAACCTGTACAAACCCATTACTTTTAATGGTAGTTGCCTCTAGGGGAGGAGTAGGGATGGGGATCATATGCGGGATATGTAGGGGTATTTATTTCCCCCCCATAATGGAGAATCAGATGAAAAGAACATGGAGAATGCCATGGAAACTGGTACGATCTAAATGTATCCCAGAGCAAAGGGGTATGGGTTGCAGGTGGGGCGTGTGCAGGAAGGAGGATTTGCGCGGTGTGGGGAAAAGGGCCTTGTCTGTCGGGCCGGGGTCGGCTCATGGGGCTCATGTGTGGGGATTTCTCCGAATTCCATCTAATACGGGTCCCATGTAGTGGGTTCCTACTACAACACGGGTCCCCATACTACAAGCCTCCCCCATTCTAGGAAAGTAAATTAGGCCAAGCCTCATGCATATTTTGGCTATTGCTATCTTTTCGAACTTACATGCTTCGTTAGGAGAACAACAGCCAGGGAGCCGCAGAAACAACCTCAAGAGTTCAGGCAGAGACCTTGGCTTTGGCAGTCTCGAGAGCACGAAAGTCCTTGACGTGGTAGTTTTCATAAATATGGGGACTCGGGACCCCAAAATAGACTCCCAATACTCGATCAGTAGGTCTCGGGCTCCTAAAGACCATAGTCCGCTCTGACAGATGACCTCGTGCCCGCTTCTCGAAGATTCTGGGACATTCCCGGGAATACTTGTTGATTATTATAGGCCATAGTCCCCAGACATTCCTTATAAAGCTGTAGAAATTGAATTTTGGGCCCTACCTAAATATATTCTAAACCCCTAAGCCCTGAATAGTAGTTTCCATTATTCCTATAAGTATCCCTATATACACGCTGTAATACCAGATTCGCCGTTGAGCCAGCTAGGCTCCTCAGTACCTTCCCGATGCATGGTACGCAGAGACGCTCGGCTTCCATGTGCTATATGATAGGGTTATATGAGTTATGTGAGCTATAGTCTAAACTCCTTAAAGGGGGTTTATACGGGGGAGGTATATAGAGGAATTCTATAGGGGCGATTAAGGGGGATACTAAGAGTTTATTGGTTTTTTGGGAACAACGGAGAGCGAGAAAAGAACATAGGCAAGGAAAGAGAGACTGCTTTGGGTAGAGCCGATACCAAGCTAGGGTGACATAGGGTTTGATTATAGGCTTATACAGAGTCTTTTGGGGTTCTAATCAATTATGGGGCTATATAGGAGTTATATAGGAGAAATGGAAAGAAAATGGAAGCTACGATTAAGGGTTTGGTTTAGAATAAGCCCGCCAGCCCCCCAGAAAAACCCAAGATAGTAGCAGCAGATATTGAATCCCCCAAGATAGGGCCAGTATATAGTAAAATCCCCAAGATAGCAAGAGTTTATTAAGGGGACTATTTATTTGGAACGAGGCGGGGGGGTCCAGGTTGACAGTCGGTTCCTTCAACCCGAGCCTTCCTAGACCCATAGCTGCTTTAATCTGAAATTCAGCGCTTTGGGTTTAGGGTGTTGGGGTTTATGGTCAGGGTTCAGGTTCAGGGTTTAAATGGTCTGGGTTTATGGTTTTAGGGTTTAAATTGTTGGGGTTCAGGGTTTTCAGCCCCGACCCAGGAATGGCGTCAACCACACGCGGATCTGTTCGATTCCGGGCTTCCGTTCTGATGGCTGCTCCTTTCCGGGTCCCATCGAGGTGCCACGGGGTTTAGGGTTTAGGGTATGGGGCTTGGGTGTTCCTGGATTTTTTGATGAAGCTAGTGTTTCTAGCGCCTGTACGTGATTCCCAGTGGACAGCCCCCAAATGGTACAGTACTTGATCAAAATTCCTCTTCCTCAAATGGCAATTCTGGAAAATTAGTTTCACGAAAATTCCCGTCTGGGCCTACAGGATCCCTAAATGACTTCCTGATCGACCCTTCAAATGGCAGCCGGCAATTTTAAGGGTAGCCAACATGTCCTGCGAAGACTACATAGGGATGTATAGGGTTGATGTAAGGGGTAAATAGATGCTACCCCAAGAACGGAAAATCAACTGGAAAAAAGACGAACAATACAATGCAAACTGAGGTCTATAGGCACGCAGATCAACTTGTCATGCGGACCTCTGCGCTCTTTCACAAGCATCACCTCATAATTCTTCTGGTATTCCTGGGAAAGAATGAATTATTGTGGACTGCATTTCATATATGATATTTTTATGGCGCGTTGGACCGTAAGATTCCAATTCTCGAGGGGCCCTAAACCTATCCCAAGTTCAGTACTTATGATCGTCACTGCCAATTGCAAACGGTGAGAGCTGGATGAGTTGCTCTTTCAGGGTGGAGTGCCGACGTACTTCTGGGGCTTCGTCACAATGCTCGCCAGAGTGGAGGTGCCTCAGCACGCACGGGTGTCGGTCTGCTGTTCAGAGCTTTTAAAGTCCATTCGCTGGATTCAAGGGATTGAAATGCCGGGAAAAAGCTTGCCAAGTAGATCAGATCCACATGAGAACCTTTTTCCGAAGCTCCCCACCCAAACTGTCCAGGTAGTCATTCTGTGTCATACATGCTGGTTGACCAACTCGATGAATTGGGGCAAGCTGGTTTGCTGCACCGCGAGATGTAGGGTCGCAACTCCCAATCATAAGCCCAGGCTTCAAGGCAATTTTCGAGCATTTGGGAACTGGCGCCGCAAATACACATGCGTGTGCCCGCATGGAACCCTCAACATCCTGCACCCTGCTAAGGCAACATTTCAAGGTATTCCACTTGTACTCAAGCCTGGATAGAAATGCAGAACACGAAGAAGTTTGCAAATTCCCAGGACCTTACGGCCCCAGTGGGGCTCAACCGTCTGGAGGCTGGAGACCGCCGTGCCTTGTCGGGCTTATGCGCGAAAAGTTTTAGGCACCAAGGTACTGCGTAATCGAGGTGGCTGATACGCCATCCCATCTTTCCAAAGAATCCAGGGTCAACTTATCACGGTGTCACGGCTTCAGTGATTGCACCAGGTGTGTGAACACTGAGACCTTTGAGGTTTCTCTTCTTGCCTTTGGTCAGCGCTAAATGAAGGAATGGACGAGCATGGAAACTACTATAATGGAGCATCAAATGGAAATAATATGGACAACTAAGTGGAAGCTATAGTGGAATATGAAAAGGAAAATGGACACCGTGATATTACTCGGGAGAATGTAGGGGCTACCAACCGGCTACTTTAAGGATCCGTCCCTTCATTCCTTGCTCACCAACAGGATTTTTGTTTTATCAGGTCTCGGTTGTGCGACAGCCTGCTCGGGGTGCCGGCACTTCATTTCCAAACATGATTCTGTCAGAAAAACAGAGCCTCTGCAAGCCGTTGAAAATGGGAGGAGACTGAGATCGGAGTACGTATTGGATGCTACCCGTATATGGCTCCGGCAGATGAGAAGCCCCGAATCCAACTTCCAAAGCAGCTTGAAAACCTCCAATGTCCCTGGCTAAGACGTGGCGGGAATGACGACGTTTGCCTACCGGATCTTTGACAATGATCCACATCCGTCACTTGTGTGGAGCTCAGAAATGCGTTCCCCCCCCTTTTAGCTCTGGGATGGCTTGGATTCATACTGTCTGCACAGCGGGTTCTAAGCCTCCAGAGATAAAGGTTTCGTTCGGTCTGGCGTCTATAGACAATATTTAGACAAAAAGGCCTTGCCGGCTCAAGCATCCGAGCCCAGCGTTTCAAGGTCTCCTCGATTAAGTATCAGCTATCGGACGGAGTACAGCTGCGTTTATTGCTTTCGAATTTCGAGCAGACGAAAGATCTCTGCTGCATCGAGCTTTCGTTTCAGCACTGTCTCTCAAGGCAGAGCATAGTTCAAATGGTTTTGTACAATTACAAGGGAGCTTGCTACCCGAACTCAATGAGATGACCAGGAGGATGCTGTCTACGCGCAGTCCTCTCAAGCTCAAAGATGGACGGACTTCGTGCAGGCGAGCTTAGAACCTGCTGGTGTTGAACTTGTTCTGGTAGACTTGGGAGTTCACAGTCCTTGAGAACACGAAGCTCTTGGCTTGAAAGGCACTTGAGCAAGGCTTATATGGCTATTGGCACTTGAAAAACAAGTGTGTCATTCTTGATAGCAAGCTTGCATGACTGTGGGACTTGGGGTAGAGAGCCTAGCAGCTCTCTCAGGGCAGCGGTGGATTGTACGACCGCCGCACACTAAAAGGACATGTCTCGCATAGCTCATTCCATGGACAGGGTCCAACGCCTATAACTACCATTATTGCTATATTACTACAAGGGCCAGAAAGGGGGATAGTGTCAGAGTAAACGGAAACTTCGTTAGTCACTCGCGTTGAGTCCGCAGCCGATGGCCTTGGATAGCTACATGCAACTTTAATTAGTCAGCTACAATGAGTTATTGTAGACACCCCATTATAGCAGTTTCCATTTTCTTTTCCAGTATCCCTATATATCCTCTATATATATATATAGAGGAATTACTATTTTAGTCTATATTGGTACTACTATATTATTGTAGTGGCAGTCTGCGGCTCAGAATCGGTCATCCGTCGGGGCCCCCAATCCTAAAAATTGGTGCAGGTCAATGTTCTTGCGGAGGAGCTGGGCATCGACTGGACCTTGCAGGTTGGTGTTGGGCCAGATTGATACTAACAGCATTATCATTATTACTACTGTTGTTAGTATCGTTGTTATCATTATGACAGGGGAGGATGTCTGGGGATGTTACCTCAATAATTGAACGGCAAATGGAAAAGGGCCTGAGGACATGGAGAACAAAATGGAACCTGGGGACTTTATCGGGACGTGTAGGGTCAGGGTAGGCTTCAAATATTTTTTTCTTATACGTAACCCCTATAGAGCCATAACAAAAAGGTAGTTGTCATAGGCCTCTCAAACTCAAACCTACCCTACAAGTAGATGAGGGAAGTCCCGAGCAAGTGTTAAATGGTGTGGGATGAGGCAATGTTTAACGTCTTACACCAAGAGCACACCAGGCTCTGAGCAGTTGACCAGGAAGCTGCTGAAAAGTGCGCTATTTGCAGCCTTCGTGTGAGAATGAGGCTTTGGATGTCCGGCTCTGCCTAAACCCCGAAAGTCGGTAAAATTATAGCCGCAGAACCTTCAAAACAGCCTGCAATCCCCTTAGCTTGCCTGGTTTGGTTTCGGGCAACCCAGACCGTTCAGATTTGGAATTCCCGCGGGTTCAGACTTTCCAGATGTTGCAAGCCTCGATCCCCCAACATCTAGACAAACAGCACAGAGAAAGAGAGAAAGAGAGAGAGGTTTTTCGGACCATGTACAGATGGATAGGGGAATCGGCGCTTGGGGCCTAGCCCCGGCGTGACCCCTAGGGACACGCATAGCGCATAGAAGAAGAAGAAGAAGAAGAGAGACTCTCCGGGTCGTGTTGATGCCAGCAGGGGCCAACCCCCGCACAGAGGGACATATTATACCTGCTGGAGCAAAGCAAAAGCAAAGCAGCACAAAGCAAAGCAAAACATGGAGAGAACCCTCCCGCACTATCCCCCTGGGTTCCCCTTTAATGAACCTTAATGAGGCCTAAAATTTCTTAAGTGAGCCTAATTTAGGGGAATCCCGGGGGTGGTATACTGTAGCCAGGTGATGCCACTTCACGGCTGGCCGCTGGTTTCAGCAGACTTCTGGCGACAGCTGCTAGTGGCTCGTACTAAGACGGCTGCTGCAATGTTAAAGCAGGTTGTTCGTAGACAAGTAGTGTGAGTGCTTTGAAGGAAGTCAAACAACAAATGGAAGGACACTGAACACAGCAGCTTTGGATGCTCAGGATTGTCAGCTTCTGGTTTGTGTTGGCGTAGTTCAATTACTCACCCTTCAGGCAACAAAGGGCTGAGATCATGAAAACATGCACTGAACCGCATTCAATCTTCATCAGCCGCAGCCCATCAACCTGGCATCCATCAGTTAGCATGCAGCCGCTGCACGCACCCTAGGTGGTGTTGCCGATGACGGGACTGTTAGGGGTGGGCCTTGGCATCAGCATCCTCATCACGATGCGCAGAAGAGCCCAGCAGCTGTTGAGGCAGGTTTCATTGACAAAGCTCACGGCTTCACTTACCTGCAGCAGTGGGATGCTGTTGGTAACTCATGTGGCCAGGTACTAGGGCCGTCAGGTGTGGAAAGCTTGTCATCGACGTAGCGTACGCAGTGCTAGATGCGGCATGGCTACCCTGAAGATGCGACTGATGTGTGGTTTTTCATCGGTCCTAGGAGATATATGTAAAGGATGAACACTGGATTCGTGACACATGGTTTTGATTGGAACAGGATAACACACTCACCAAAAACAATGACGACAACACATATACCCCGAAGATGCGCAAACGATAACACATTGACCACATTTCCAGTGACCAGTTGCCCAGACAAGGAATGAAAACGGTATGTCATCTAGATGCAGCTGTCAAGCGAAAAAGAATTCAAACCCTCTGGAATCTTGTCCACATCCATCAACTGGTACTGCACGATTCATGACCATAGCTTTTTCAGGCTGGAGGAGTACCGCCGTGAAGTGTCACTTGGCATCGGACTGTTTTTGCCAATGGTTGTTCTGCGAATATGCCATCTTGAAGAGGAGCCCAGCCCGAGGGCTGAACTCCCCGGCCTACACCCACTTCACTTAATGTCAGCCAGATGTCGGACAACTGAGGATTGCCAGAACTATTCTTGCGCATCTTGGCTGAAGTGATGCATTGTCGAAGACGGCCCTGAGTTACTTCCTGCCAGCTGCACGATTGGGAATCCAGTTGGGCTGTGGAGTTTCTGGCTGTTTCGCGCTGAGGGCTGCCAGGTAGTGTGCTGACAAAGTTTCCAGCCCGGAGGTTTCGGGGCTCCGTATCAATGTCAGGATCAGGTAGGAGATACGAGACACTGGCTTTCTGTATCTGATGGCCTGGCCAACCGACTTCCGTGCAGTACTGCTGCTATCCTTCCAATTGCTACACATCAGCCAAGGTCCATCTCGAACCTGGACCTGCTTCAGTTTCCCATGTGTAGGGGGCTCAGCGGGGGGCATACCAACCCACTCTTGGTTGCTTGGTTGTGGCCACTGGAAGAAGAACTGGCCTCATTGACAAAAGCTGTGTCAATCTGAATGGCTTCGGGCCTGCAAAGGTGGCGAACTTTTTGTCTTTCCAAGGCCTCTTGACCGTGCAGGACTTCCTCTCCTTGGGGGAGCTCATTTGCCACGAGGACAAGTAAAGCATCCTTGAGCATCTTGCGGTGATTCTCACCTTAACCCCCAACCATGGTGGTGAGGACGCTCGCGAAGCGCGACGCCTTCGCTCTTCGACTAGATTTGTCATCAAATTGCCTGCAGCTTCTGGAATTTGGGGCCAGGATGCTAGTTCCACGCTTACGGATGCACCAACACACCCATGTACGGCGGCCCTGCGCATGAGGCTGCATCGATATGGCCGAGGAGGCAGCGAGGATGTGCCAAGAGGAGCACCTGGTGCTAGAGCGCGCTTCAAATTTACCTTACTATTACTATTAGTATTTCTTTGCAGTACTACCATTACTACACCGGCTGCTGTTACTTGCAGGTGGATTGTGGATGTCATAATGTATGTCCCTGCTTTGGATTTCAAGCTGTCAAGTGCATTCTGGCCTACTCTGCAACGTATCCCCTTCAAATGCTGACTGTTGGAGCAGCAACCAAAAGCAGAACCTGAAGCAAGCTGCAGTTTGCACTAGCAGCCGAAAGGTTAAAGCGCTTAGGGTTCAGGGAATCTGCCCACGCTCTCTGAATTCAGATCGCATCTACGCTGGAAATCATATAGTTGTGTTTGATAAGGGCCCCCTTCTTACAGGAGCTCCCCCACACCTAAGCTTCCCCCCAAACCCAAAACCCTAATGATACTGCAGGAGGGTGTGGCTTTCCTGAGCCATCAGTGGGCAAGCTTCGAGCATCCCGATCCAGACGGCGTGCAGTACAGGACTTCCTTGACACTGCTAAAAGCCTTCAGTCGTTCTAGTGGGGTTATACAGGGATTATATAGGGATTACATTGGGATAATGGAAAAGAACATGGAAACTGCTATAGTATATTGGGGGTTACATAGGGATAATCGAAAAGAAAAATAGAAACTGCTACAGTATTTGGCGTTATGTAGGGAGTATATAATGGGAAAGAACATGGAAACTGCTACAGTATATGGGGATAATGGAAAAGAACATGGAATCTGCCATAGCATATTGGGGTCATGTTATAGGGATAGTGGAAAAGAAAATGGAAACTACTACTTAGGGGTTGGGGACAAGGTTTAGCCCTTATCTACAGGGGAAATATGGGGGTGATCTAGGGATGTTACCCCAATTACGGAGACTCACATGGAAGAGAACATGGGAAATGCAACGAACACTGGGAACACACAGGGTGCAGGTTCATGGGGATTTGGGGGCTTCCATAATTTGAGCGTCCTTTGTGGGTGCCTTCAAAAAACGGATTATTAGGATTGGGGGGGTCGAGATTGGGGGGGCCCCCCTCTTTGTGGAAACCACCATGTATAAGTTCTTGGTTCACACTCTTCATGACATGCTGGGTTTGCACGTTGTTGGCGGAGCTGTGGCCATCTAGACTTCAAAATTGCACAGGTGGCATGTGTTTATGCCAAGCAATGTGCGAAGCCCAGTCCGTATGTTGACTTCTGTCATGACTCCTGCGGCCTCATGAAAGCTGGAAAACCCTGTCAGTAATAACGGGACGACATGCTGACAACTGCTTTGCCGTGCCGTTGCAGGGCTATGGTCAAAGCGGTGGAGGAGGTCCTGGCACGTGGCATCAAGTGCAGCTGGATTTGGGTGGATTATTGTGGCCTGGCTGAATGCGCCCCAGGAGGTTGTTTGACAGAGAGCGTTGGCGTTCGTGATCTTTCACTGATCATTACCCAGAACCTCCTGTGTAGTTCCTTTTTGAGTAATATATGTTATCCCTTAGCAAATACACTCAAAGGGAACTACTTACGAGCCCTTGGGGGAATGCTAAGAAGGAGTCACCCGTTCTTAGAGGGAGCAGCCTTGATTATTTCAAGCGCCACGAGGTCCACTTCCAGAAGCTGGCGCCTGAATATAACAAGCGCTGGGACATTTCTGGGAATTGTGTTTCTGATTATGGACCGACTCAATGTTCTCATACAGCCACAAGAGTACTTGGCTCTTCAATCTATACCATTGGCATTGCGTTTCCTGCTACAGCCTCACAGATACATCAACACCGGACGGGTGCGACATATTGATGCCACCTTCTAGCTTGACAGCTAATCGCTGCGCAGTACCCTTGATCGAGCTCTTCCTGTGCAGTACCGAGCTGCCCCTGACCCTTGATGCTGCCCAGCCGTCCGTGCCACGTCTCAAGCCTGCTGGGCAGGCCTCGCCTGAGCGTGTCGACCCCGCACCGCGCCCACTGTACACATGCTTATCATGTCCCTCGTGCTGTCCGGGCTCGGTGCCTTGCCCAGGCCGTATCGACCGCAGCCACTCTCAACACTTGCGTCTCGGTAGGAGGTGCTTGTGCTTTCCCAAAGTTGTGCTCTGCGCGCCATGTGCTCTTGGCTTAGGCTTCGCTTTCCGCCTCCCTGCCCTTGGTCCCCATGGCTGCTTGTAAGGGCTCACACGCAGTTTGCACACAGGGTGGGCCCTTCAAAGCTGATTTGGGGCGGAATCGTCGCAAAAATTAGCTGCTGTCCTCATACCTGTTGCAGCATCTTTCGTCAGCAATCCTCAAAGATCCCTGAGCCCAATGCCTGAACCTCAGTTTCTTCCCCCCACACTTCGAGCCCATCAGACCCATTTGTGATGAGTTTGGCAGGAGGACTGTGATACTGAATGTCATAACTTCAACATACTTCAGCAGCAAATACTGGATCCCAATCCCATGTCTGGCGGCAACATTCCTGTTGGAGAATTTTCCAGCAACTCAGGGCCTTCCGAAAACATCCTGACTATTGGAGCGTTTGTCGGTAGGGTGAGGGGACGAGCCTTCATCCCCTTCAGTGGAACTTTGCCCTTCCGTGGACAGAACCAAGTTTTTTTAACCCCTGAACTTCAACAATCCTGGACGGTGTGCCCAGACATGAGCTTGCAAGATGTTTGCCAATGACCATCAAATCTGGAGGCTCCATCCCGCAGCGCAACACATTTCAACAGCAGACTGCCATCAATTCCTTGCAACTTGGATGGACGGGGTGTCTCTTCCTTTCGGCTTATCGCTTGTGTGGTGGTGAGGTGAAGGTACAGACAGGGGTGTGGGGTGGCCAGGGTCTGTAAAAAGGTGGGTAGCCGCTTAGCCCAAAACAGAAGGATGTCTTGTATCTCTCTTGAGGACTTCTTCAAGCACTGAAAACCTTCAAATGCACCTCCGAGGTCTGTCTACGCATCCTACTGCTCCGTCTTCTTGTCGGTTGTTCCGCCCTGCATCCACGCAGACACAGGGCGCTTTGGCAGACACACTACTGGAGCATCTGCCTAAGATCTTCCCCGATCATTCCGGGGGATTGTTGTTTTATTGCGGACCGTTGCCCTACAAAACCTAATATGAACCCACAGAATTAGCTGTTTTTGGGACCCCTACATATACCCCAGCTTGAGTTTCACTGGAATTTGCAGACCCGGGTTCTGGCTCACAGCCGCCACCCGCGCCACTGAAGGCCTGGCTATATTATCAGTTCCCAGTGGGAGTTTCCTAAAATTAGGGTACCATTTTGGGGACTTCCATAGTAAGGACTATAGTATATTGGGGTTTATACTGGGGTCCCCCGAACAAATGTATTTGGCTCTCGACGAACTGGCACTTCCAGTTCCCTGTCGTTTCGTTCCTTTTCACTGCCGGTCCTGTTCGTATAATACAGGGGCCTGGATGGGGTTGTTCTCAAAATTATGGGCCCCCTTTGGTTCTGATTATACTAAGGCACCTAATATTTAGGGGTACCATTTCGCTTAATTGTGGAAACTACCCCATAATTACCAATATCATGGTTCTGGATTCCTCAACATGCTATAGGTAATGATTTGGGCCCCTAGAGTACAAAACAATGTAAGCTTCCATAGTCTTTCCATTTGACTCTCCATCAATGGGGGTAAAATCTGAAATAGCCCCCACAGAATCCCAATGTATGCCCTAGTATAACATAGCCCCCAGGCATGACATCGACATCAATTCCTATTGCTCGCGCGCGTGGTGTCGGCTTGAGAAGTTAAGCTATGGCACCTCAGCTATGATTTGGCACAGGAGTAGTGGTTTCAGTCAAGCACGCCTCCTGAAAAGAAGTTGGCTTTGGAAATCAGTAGCACTGAGCCTCCAGAAGCGCCTCATTGACGCTTAGATGAGTGCCAGCTAAGATTACCAAGCGCTAGCTCATGTCTCAGGTGGACATGACTTGAGCGGTTGACGCTGGAAACTCCGCAAAACGATAGGGAAGAGAAAAAGCAATAACCATGGTGTGGCGAACCATTGTGATCTTCATTGTTGAGTAGGCATTCCTTTACACAAACTAAAATGCTGGAAGACATTGAAACCGAGAAGCCCAAGCCCATTTCCGTCAGCCAGGTAAAGGATTTTGACCGTAGCTCATATGTTGATGCTGACATGCATGATTCCAGATCCTGTAGACATTCGCCTGGGAATTGGGGAGAGCAGTTCAAGTTCGTGGTGGCTTGCTGAAGTTTGTCTCAGGCACTGCAGGCTGGAATTCAGACGGGCGCCTGGCCTTCATGTGCACGCAAGAGGGCATAAGCAACGATTGGGCAGCCATCTTCGATGATGAGCCTGGGCTGCAAGTGGCTAGGTCCTTTTTTCATAGACCAGAGAGCTTCACACAGTTGCCGCACACTCACATGTGACTTGGTAGTTTCTATAGACTCCAAAAAAGCATAATTCATATTACAGGGACCCCAAGAATGGTACGCCTCATTTGGAGAAAGCCGACTTGCAGAGGAGTCCGTCTTGGATGTTGCGGGCGGTGCATTTAGCTGTTGCACGCGAAACCATCCTGATGGTAAGCCCTGCGACAAGCAGAAGATCGTTGGCGGCTCGGCTATAAACCCAAACCCTCCCACTACCCATAGGCCTGAATAGAGTCTCGAATAGAGGGTGCAGGAACCTCAAATCCAAATAGCCTGCTTCCAGCATCTGTTGGATATCTAGGATGGATACTCAGGGATCATCCATTTAGTCCACAGCGGAGAACATTAGCCCGTCACACACGTCCGGCATCTGTCAGGCGTTCTTTTGGGCATCTATTGGCGCCTGCTTGCTACGGTGCGCGATGCACCAGAAAATGCAGCCAGGCGAGATGGGCTGGGTTGCCATAGCTATTACTAAACAATTGGGGAAAAACTTCCCCAATTGTTTCGAGAGTCCAGGAGAGTTGCTTTCATTGTGGTCGCTGCTAGCTCCCAGGCTTCAGCTTCAGACTTTGCTTGGAGTCATCAGGTCACATTATGTGGCACATTGAATGAAGCTTGGGTTAGATGGGGATTATATAGGGGTATTATATAGGGATACTGGAAAAGAAAATGGAAACTACTATAATGGGTTCCATAGGGATTTTGCTGCTGTAGTGTTGCACGAGGGTTGTTTGGATTAAGGATGTGTGGCCTGCAGAGCGTGTAGAGCAAGTCCCGTAAGTCCCCAAGCATAGCCGCTCGGCGCTGGGGAAAGATCACAGTGGACATGTGGAAATAGTTCCATTGTATGTTGGCAACACTCGCAAGGCTCAAACAGGCATATAATATCTTTGAATATTTTTTCGAGATTCTTCGTCCATCCGCAGCCCATGTTTCAGCCCTGAGCCCTAACCGCTTCTACAATCAAGCCGGCCATTCCGCAGGGCCACAGCCCTTCTGAAGCTGATTGACCACGATGAGAAGCGGCATTCTGGTCAAAGTCATTTGGAGCTTGGGGAAGTACCGTGAAGGCTTTCCAAAGGCAAGGTTTCTTCACTTGGTTGGAGTGGCAGGGTCCAGCAGCTGTTGGGCTCTCGTTTATGTATTCTCACTGCAGTCATTGACAATTTCAATCTCTCTCCTCTCAAATCTGGCCCAACAATTCTCTCACAGGACGATCAGTAGTACCACTATGAGACGGCTACGGGATGTATAGGACAATGACGAAGTGGCTGTGAATCAACAAGACTAGGCTTGTAGCAGGCTTGGGCAGCCATTCTGCACATAGTCGCGTGTTGCGACAAGCACCTTTGCAACAAGGTTCTTTTGTGGGGCATACCTTTAGCCCAGCATTCGCGACAAAGATATAACCACAGGCCGCAACAAAGCAGAACCCCCAGAACGTTAGCCCATGCGGTGCTGGAGAGTCTAGGCATCTCAACGTGATAAGATTTCGAGGAGGCGTGGAAGTGTTCAGAAGCATAGGGTCTCTCTCGCGCATACCAGGCCATCCCAGATGGAAAATGGAGTTAAGGCTTTCAACACTGTCCGCGGGAGTCCAACTATCCCAGCCCTCGTGCTGGACGTCTGAACATCAACATTGAAAGGACATGAGCGCGTCGTGCTGAGCGAAAGCAATGAAAACTTACTGCCGTAGGCCGACAATGGCATTTAGATGCCGTGCTGCTTCCCTTTATTCCGTTGCTATACCCACAGTGTTACATGTGGTGCTGCCACATTCTCGAACGGGAATCTGTTCAATTTGTGTACTCATGGTAGCAGAAATTCTTATCAACGACAACGTTGTGGCGCACCAAACGCAACTACCACGAACCCAACAAGCCGTCTTGAGAATGGTTGGAGGTTTGTCCGTTACCAAGCTTCAGTTGCCACTCCAGATTTCGGCCTTTCAGCCCAAGGTACTTTCCTCCTTACACGACCTATTTCTCTGACGCTGGCTCTACGCGGGTTGAACTCTTCGATGGCTTTCTGCCCGTGCTCAGAGCACCTAGGCACGGTTTCCAGATTTAAGTACGGACATAGGAGTGTTGGGGTCAGAGAAATGCTGCCATCGTATTTGGAATTCTGACTATCCTTGCTCGTCACATTGTGCAACCTACGCACCACAGCGCCGGACCCAAGTGAACGTAAAAAACAGTAAACGAGGGCCTGGAGCTTCATTCTTGCGGCGCGTCCTCCGTGTGAACCCAGGACATGTTCCTCCAAGACACAGAAGCTGACCATCATCAGCGAGTCGCTTTGCTGCGTTTTAGCTATCTGATGAGCCGCCAGGTACCTTTACTTTAGATTCCAGCTTCTCGCAATGCATTCAGTCGTGCCACTGGCCATCTTGTAGCCAACCATTGTTGTGTCGATTTTGAAAGGTTTTGACATAGATTGTGATTTATGCTCCGCAATATGGGTGTCATACCGCCAAGCTTGAGGTTGTGGTGCCGGGAGTGGGTGATTTGCAGCTGGACGACTTCCTGTCCCAGGCTCATTCCAGGGTCAAGGCCTGGGCACGGTTTGAGAGCAGGGCTGGATCGTAGAAACAACATGGTAGTTTCCCAAAATAGGGGGACCCCAACATAGACCCCAAGATACTACGGTACAATCCTTACCATTGGGACCCCAAAAGGTACCCCCTGATTTTGGGAAACAGTCTGCCATGGTACGCTTGATTGCTGGGCGGCTCCGCACATCTTCGATGGTATTCATGCGGAGCCATAAGGCCCAAGTAGGGGTTTAAGGCTTAAGGGTACATTACCCCGAATCGAATAATGGAGAACCAAACAGAAAAGAACATGGAAAATGAAATGGAGACTACAATTTAGGGTCATGTTTCAGTTGCCTTCGTCCAGAGTGATTGTAGCAAATTATGCCTAGAATCACACAGCTTGTGAGATGACAGAGGTGCGCACGACCAGCCTGTGATCCTTCAGTCTGCCACGGCCTTAGCTTCGCGTCAATTTGAATGTGGGCAGATACTTCTAGCCTTGAGGCTGTCGGTCATTCTCAGGTTGCTTGCGCACTTCAAGACAGAGCTTGTGTGATGCATGGGTAGTGCACGGGTGACTGGTTGCAGGCCTGATTGAATCCTTTGAATGTCCTGGATCGCTGTGAACATTCCTGCGCGCATGAGACAATGGTGCAGTGAGCTCCTACAGAACATGCCGCCTTTGAGTTCTGCCTACAAGTTTTCAAGATTAGAAGAGTTTCTCGTGTGAGTAGCCCCTGACTTGAGGCTTTGCATGCCTTTTGACGTAACCTACCCTATTTGGAACTGGGGAGTTTCTGACAAGGTGGCCCTGAAAAGAAAATCAGACGCATTGAGCTGTTGGCTTTGAAGGCTGGGCTGAAACTCCTAGTGGCTTGGAAGAGGTTCCCGTTTCCAGCTGACCAGGCCGATCCTTTGATGGCTCAAGGCCTCTAGGGACGCCTGTTTTCAAAGCTGGTTTGCAGAGGGGGTCAACAGTCTGCCTGTTGGACACTGGGCTTTCCCGTACTGGGTGTTGACAGGTAATGATAACAGTGATAGTGACAGGAATAGTAGCAGCAATAGTAATACTGTTGGTACTAATAAACCTTGCATGACTTTAGTATACCATCATACCATACTTCCCAAAGGGTGGGGGGAACCCAGGGCCTTGACCGTAGTAGTGGTGAGAAGTCAGCAGTGGAGCCATTACAGTGCGCGACCACTAGGCAGACCGGACCCCAGGGTCTAGGTTTAGGGTTGGGACGCTATCAGTAATTGCTGATACCGCTGCAGCTAAGTGCCACAATGGCACCTTCAAGGCCGCCTCCCGGAATAGCTCGCAGCACGCTTTTCGACAACGGTTTGGTAGAGCAAATTTCTATGATCAGTTCATTCCATGTTCAGGTGGGTCTTTTGGGAGGCGGTGCGCGACATGCAATCATTCCGAATGTGCCGCCTATGGCTGCATGTTGGCAACTTTGGGTGTGTTTGAGGGAGATCTATTTGTAGCTGAAACTCTAGAAGTCGTCAGAGGCACTGGACGAAAGTGGCTTGAATTTTTGCATCAGCCCTCACACTGTTCCCGTGCCGCAGGAGTGACCTAGCATGCTCTGGGCAAAACAAGACGGTGGCGTTCTTGCTTTGAAGCAATGCTGCTTTGTGAGTTGAAGGAGCGCAGGGTCGGAGAATGAAACGGAGAAGAAAATGGACATTAAACTAAGTGGAAACTGGGAAAAGAAACTGGAAACTGCTATTTAGGATTTAGGGTTATATACTTCAAAGCAGAACAAGCAACAAGCTTCTTGACGATTCCTCCAGCAATAGCTCAGCTTCAGCAGTATACAAGGATGGAATGGGATCTTATGGGGGTTCTGGTAGAGTGTTGCAATTCCGTGTGCTTCTTCCTGTCAGGCCGGCGTGCTGGAACATCCTGCTGGTGAGCAGGGAGATTTGGGGGTTTCCAAAGATTATGGGTAAGGGGTTATGGGGAATATATACGGTTGATCTCATAGGGTTTCGGGCTTCCAAAAAAAGAAAAAGATGGGTCCCTTGTTGGAGGGCTCCAGGTATAAGGATTATAGTATGTTGCGATCTATATTCAGACTACCATTTGCAGGCCGAGCATTCAGTTAGTGGTTTAGCAGAGCGAGGAAATGCTGAAGACAAGCTGGAAAAAGATGCGCGGGCCTGTTTTTGCACGTCAAAGATGCGGGGAATGGACAAGAAGACGGAAACTACTATTAGAGTTCGGGGTACGGGGATATAGAGGAATGCTAGGATTGTGTCGCGATGAAATGGGAGGAAGGACGAAGAAAATGAAAACTACAATGAAAGTGTAGGGTTTGTATATGAATACTACCCCAATACTGGGGAATCACTTGGAGAGATAATTTGAGCAGTTTGCTTTGCCCAATGTTTTCAATGCCGATGGCACCCAGATGAAGAAATCCACCCCTGCTATAGTAGATTGCTACCAATCTGGGGCCCGGGATCTCCATTTGGTCACGGCCTCCTGCGCTGACTATATGGTAGTTTCCCGGAATAGGGGACCCCAACATAGATCCCAAAATACTATACTCCTTACTATAGGGACCCCCAAAAAGGTGCCGCTCATTTTGGGACACCCCGTCATGCTTTTTTTTCTCTCGCATGCGCCAGTCTTCAGGGCTCCCGGTTTATAGGGATAATATGGGTTTGGTTCAGGGATTCTATTGGGTTTGTATAAGGATTTTTTGGTGTTTATATAGGAATTATATGGGGTTTACATAGTACAACTTTGACACCCTCAGCTCGAAGCGCAAGGCCTCGAGTTTCTGGTCATAATATTTGGAAGCCCCCCCGAAAAGGATCCATAATTTTTGGGAACCCCAAACCCTGTAGAGGCCCCTATATTATGTAACCCCAATATATCCCCTGCGTACCTGCAACAGCTGCAATCATAGCATTCAGAACCAAGTCTCAGGTCTGACTCTTCTGAGTGCTCAAGTCAAATTTCAAGCATGTCTAGCTCCGTAAGTCTGTGATGCCGATAGCCCTATATGGTAGTTTCCAAGGATAAGGGCACCCCAATGGACCATGATAATTATGATTTTTTTTTGGGACACCCCCAAGAGGCCCCCCTAATTTTAAGAAACCACATTAAGCCCCTACATAACCCCATAAACCGGGCTCAGTTTCAAGCATTCCCACCCCTCACCACTTTCCAGCCGTGGTTCATTTGCGGAGTGGGCCTCTGACCTCCATATATGGGTTATGTAAAGTTACATAGATGGGTTATGTAAAGTTACATAGGCCATCTAGTGCTTCAGGGAAAAGAACATGGAAACACATCATCAGGGGTTTAATCAGGGTCTAGCCTTTCGAGATATAGCCGCTAGTTTCCATATCATTGTCCATTTCCTTTTCCATGTGGTTCCACCATTTGGGTGATATTGGGATCGCTCCCAAGGCCTTTATACCTCCATCATGCTGGATTCGCAGCTCCTGGATGCTCGGTCATCTTTGGAATTGGGGAACTTGACGGTAGGTGGGTTCAGGGGTTCAGGGCGCTGGCAAATTCTGATGCGAGCACGCTGATAGAGCCCACCTGAGCTATACTCTAAACTACTTAAAATGGGGTTATATAAATAGCAAAAATAGTAATAATAACAAGCATCGCAAAAGTAATAATAGTAATATGAACTACTTAAAGGGGTTATGTAGGGGGATTATATCTAGGAGTTTAGACTACAGCCCACGTCATCAGCTGAGGACATGGTTGAGGAGGGTGATGACCAGGCTCGTTTTCCGAAGCCTGCAGCGAGTAGTACCTGGACCCCAAAAGTAGGCAACAACATGGCCCGAATCCCTTGAAGTATCCAAAAGGCATTTTTTGCATACTTTTTGGGATTCAGGTAGTTCAAGTTTGGAACTCTATGACACTTGAGATCTTGACATCAACCGGCCTAGCTGCCTGCTCCTTGTCTCCGATTGTCTCCCCTAGCTGTTTCTCACGAGGGTCTATAGAGTGTGCAAGCGCGCTCGAGGATGCATCTGCGAAGTCCGGCTGCAAACAGTTGATTCGTGGTTTACCTGGTGGATGGCTGTTTCAATAGACTGCGGAGCTACAGGCCGCGGGTCTTTGACCATTGGGAAGAAGCACCCAACTGCTGTATTCCTTGCCGACTTGCAACTGGTACACTTCTCTCTTGTGGACGCATGTTGCCTAAACGCAGAGCAGTTTGGCTGTTTGGGGGCAACTTTGTGGAGCTGCTTCTAGCTCACCACGTTGCTTTAAGTCTTCAGAGCTCCATGCCGTCTATGAGGAATTCCAAGTTGCAACTTGCGAAAGTAGGCAGAAATAGTACAGCTTACTTTCCGGGCTGCGTTCATTCTCCAGAACAGCGCGCCTGTTGCAGGCAATTGGCGCAGCTGCAGACATGCAGAGTCTGGACCTCATCGGAAGCAGGCATGGTCAAGATAACCTGCCACCATTCAACGCATCAAGGCTTGATCTCGTAGCCCTAAGCCCCTAAGCTAAGCACTTAAATGGTCATGGATGGCGTCCATGCCAAGCCTTGAACAGGTAAAACAAGAGCCGGTATTGCTGGATTCTGCGGACTTGGCAGGTAGTGCTTAGCTGCTGGCAGCGCAGTATCTTTTGCCATCGTAGAGATACCGACTGCCGTCCCTCCAACTCCAGAGACCTTCAGCTCGTGCATCCTAATCCAACCTTTGACCATGCTTGTCGTCAGAAGAAAGCAGTTTTTTTTTCTTCACCGTCGCGGTGGCCGGCCTATGTAAGCACAATATCTCTTCCGTAAGCCCTAGAACTCCCGCTTTGAAGGGACTCCTACTGTATGGAAACCGGCATGTTTGTAAAGCTCAAGCCCAAGACCAACGCCCTATCCGTCTTTATAGTCGTTATGGACCACAATCCAAATGAATTCTCTAAGCACCACAATGTTTTTTCTAAGGGCCGCCGGGTCTATCCCAGATTATGGATTCTCTTAACGCTCTGCTTGGGCTTTAGTTCACATTAACAACCCAAAACCCAAAGAAGCCTTGGGACAGAACTTCAGAACACTCCAGCCCTTGACGCCTAGCTCTGTCAGACAGTGGCCAGATAGGTATTGAAGAAGACCCCAAGGTAGACCCCATAATACTTTGATCCTTACTATGGGGACCCCCAGAAAGGTGCATCCCAGAACATCTTGAGAATCTCCCATTATCCTGAAAACGGGACCCAGGTGAGCCATTGGCGTTTCGCCCTAGCAGATCCTTTGCAGGGAGCCCAACGTGGGGAAGCTTGAGGTTGAAGATATTGGTTCAGACACCAACGCAGATGCTTCATATTCACCGCCCCACTGTTCTATCTGCTTTTCTTCGATCTGTAGGCGAGAAGCCTGGCAGCTCTTGCTGCTATTTGATAGGATGCTCATTTTCTGCTTGCTGCGAGTGAGAACTTCTAATTCAGAGCTGGCTTTTCGAGGAAATCCGAATGCGCTTGAGGGTGTACTGAACTGCTAGTTGCATGGCTTGTGATGCTGTTTTTTTTGCAGTTTCTCCAGAGTGCACCATGCCCTGGGCCTCAAGCGGCCACCGTGTCAACTCAGCAAATGTCCCGCATCAGAGCAGGTATGATGTGCGTGATGCAGGCGCCTTCATTCATGCATTGGAACCTGCGTAAGGAGAAGGGGTTTGGCCTTACCGCTTCTTTACCTCAGGCCTTGCTGCTGCCGAATTGCGTGCAGGTGCTGCGGCTGACCTTCAAGGCAAACGTCTGCTCACATCTGGTCTAACTGCTTGATGTAACGCAAGCCCTGATGTGACTTTACATGTGCCCCAGCCATGGACAGAGGAAACAGGCTCTACCTTTGGTTCTGCGCCATGAACCAGCAGGCCCCTGCCACCACGCGTGCGCCCGCGACTGCTGGCGAATGCTGTGCATACTTGGCGCAGCTGTCGCGGAAGGCATGAGCCCAAGCTCTTTACAAGCTTTCTGCCAAATTGAACGGCTACTCGTGCAGGATCCTTCCACTTGCAGCAGGGCTTTCTTCCCCCTGTGCCCGAGATCAGGCGTAATCATGTCTAGAATCGAAGCTCCTGCAGAAGATCAGTTGCACTTCCATGCTGCCAATGGTCCGTCTCTGAATGAGATATTATTCTGAGCCATAGCCACATGCTACCCTATCGAACTTTGCTGATGCTCATGCCAGCCGTGCCTGGCAGATCCAAGAGGTCAAAAAGGAAGTGATCAGGGATTCAGGGGGACCCATATTTCTGCAACGGAGCTCAGGCTTCCCAACCAGTGCGCGCAAGAGTTGAAATCCAACCTTGCGAGGTAAACATGAACAGCCGTCCTAAGCCTTGTGGCCTTGCCTTGTCTGCCCGTCTCTTGCATGGCTTTTGCAAACCGGCCAGGGCACAGCACCCAGCAAAGCCTCGCGCTCAGCAAAAGCAAAAGATCATAAGCAGCTTGCAGCTCAGAAATTCAGCTGCTGCGTCTAACATCAGTCAGTATTCACCACCAAACAATCAGTATCCATGTTGTTGAGTTTTGTGCCGTGGGTGCACCCGAGATCACGCGTAGCAACGTTTATCAATGTCAGCCTGCATCGGACAAGCGTCCCAACGCAGAGACTCAAGCTGGCAATCTATCTCCAGCGCCTTAGCCCCCACTTGTAGGCGCTGACCAGAGACCATTTGATTGTCCTTACGCCAACATCTGGGAGACCTGAGAAGACTAAATTTTTGAAATGCGCTTCCAGGCCTGGCCTTGGAGTTTTGACGACGTCGGAGTTCCTGCTTTTGAGGCGCAGCAGCCGGCACTGAAAGCTGAGTTGGAGGCTCTGAAGGCTTGAGGTTCATTTGTTGGAGTGTGTTGTGTTGACGGCCATGACAAAACCAATTGCACCTAGGCCACCAACAGCAACATCCACAAGCACAGCACAAGCGCTAATGCAAGACACCGTGGATTGCACCTTATTGGATGCGTGAGTGGAGCTTCCGGAGAGGTGGTCCACCCACATTGAATTCAGTGTCCCCCAGACGTTGTAGTATTCAATGATGTCACTCCGTGGGCTGGCACGACACGTGGTTGGAAACTGAAAAGTACGTTGGGCTGAGACGCATGCCTTGTGGAAGGATCTGTGCAAGTCTATGCAGGCCCAGCAGCTTACAAGTTTAGCTTCGAGGCAGCCCATACAAAAGGTCTCCAAGCGGACCCTCTACTCCATCCACGCCGTATGGAAGAAAGTCCGGGATGGCCTTGCGCTATCAGCTGTGGCATGAATCCTGCACCTAGCTTTCTTCGACTGACGCAGCTAGAACAACACGGGACTCCGATTGCAGGCATCATTGAAAGACCCAGCAGCAGGACCGCATGACGAGCTTACTCTTTGTCGAAACGTCTTACTAGGCGCAACGTTTGAAGCACAGACTTCAGGCACAACAAAAGAAAACACCCAGGAACCGAACGCTATAAATCCTGAAGCTTGCGTTCGACGCATGGCTTTGTGCAGGAGCAACGTCAACATTTGGCGACTGCCTGCCTGCGGGGTGTCCCAGAAATGCCACTGTCGCTGCGAGATGAGTGCGGAAGCGTTTGGTCTCACCTTTTACTAGGACATTCCTGGAATTTGTCTTTCATTTATCATGGACCGTAGTCCCTGGAAATCCCCACAAAGCCATGAAAAGATATTACCATCCTGGGGCCCATAAATCTACATATCCCAGTCCATGTAAGCTCATGTACTGAACATTGGGGGAACTTTGTTTCCTCATACAATTGGGGGAAAAACTAAACAATTGGGGGAAGCCTATTTTCCCGCAATTTTTTGCTTTTTCTTCAAGGCAGGATCCGCTACCAGCAGTCCGGACGGGTCGTTGGCTGCAGGGTCTGCCGGGTCCGCAGAAGCTCTTGGCGTTCAAGGGATTGTCAAGATCTTTCTCGAGCAAACCGATTTCAGACGTTCAAGAGTTCAACCTGTTGCTTGTTTTCCACAATCTGGTGAGAGATGTTTCCAGCAGATGGGTAACAATGCTTCAATGTAGTCCGTGATTGTCGGAGAGTTTCTGTTGCAAGGTTCTACTATGTCAAGAAGTCAGATCACTAGTCTGGGAGCAGCAAGGCGAAGCGTGACATACTGCCTTCTCAGAAATTAAAGCCAGTATGAGCTGTTCCATAAGCTTTCTCAAGCACATGCTCATGACTGCTGGGGTTTTAATTCATGTGAGCCATAGTCTGAACTCCTAGTAGCCCCCCAAAATAATCCCCTATAGAACCCCGCCTTAAGGAGTTTAGACTGTTGCTCATATATAGGGTGTATTACGGAAAGAATGAAAAGAACATGGAAGCTACGGGTGTAGGCTATGTTGGGGTTACATACGGTTATTACCCCCAGCAATGGAGAATGAGATGGAAAAGAAATTGGACATTGAACGGAGACTGAGTTGACATGGGGGTTTAGGGTTTTCTGGGGTATTCAAAGGCATAACGTGATTTATCATTGGCCAGAACCAAGAAGCACTAAACGTTTAGAGGGCCCCTGAATCTATCCCAGATGCCTTTGTAAACATAGCAGTTTCCATATTCTTGTCCATGTGATTCTCGATTATTGGAGATAATCTCCCTGCATATCCCGTACCAAATCCCAATCTATCCCAGTGAGAGCCATGCAATCATGTGATTTACAATCTGAACTCCTTAAAGAGGGTTATATAGGGGATTTTATGTGGGACTACTAAAGGGCTTATTAAGGGTTGAGCAAGATCCTGCAGTGCATTCCTAGTGAGCGTAACCCTTATTGCTGGAGGACAGTGTTCTGGGATATTCCGTGGAATAACTTTTTGATCGCCCACAGAAACTTGAAAATCAAGTGGGAACTGGGATGATGTAGGGGTTTCGGTGTGCTGGCATATTCCGGAGAATAGGATTCAATTATGACGACCGTCATCCCCATATTTCCCGAAAGAGCCAGATGAGTTAAATTTCTATGGGGCCATGAAACCTATCGCAGTGACCTCAATGTGGATCTTGGGTCCGGTAGGGCCCTTGGCTTCAGACCCAGTGGTAGTATAAATAGAAGCCGCAATGTAGAGCCCGATACACGATAGACTATATTCATCATTATTGGTACCTCCAAAAAAGAGCCCTGATTTTCAGAAACCCTAAACCACGTAGGATCCTTGTACCCAAGTTATAACCCCTATACAACCCCCTTCAGAGGGACTTCCAATTAATCTTGGGAAATCTCCAAGCAAGGCTGCGTTTTCTTGCCGTGGCTCTCAGACCAGTCTGGGCCATTGTCTCAGCTTTTCTTCCACTAGCTCTGGTTAGCAAGGAATGATAGGGGTTAGATAGGGACTACATAGCTGCTATGTAGGGGTTTATAGGGTTACGAGGGATACATAGGTGTTATGTTGGGGATCTATAGGAGCTATATAGGGATCATATAGGAAGAATGGAAGAGAGAATGGAAACTACTATTTAAGGTTTAGGCTTCAGAGCTGATGGGAAAGAACATGGAAACTACTTTGTTGTAATAGGGTGCATGTTTGCACTACATAGGGGTTATTACCCGCGACAGTAACAATGGAGAATCAGATGAACAAGAGCATGGAAAATGCAGAGGGCACTGAGGTATATGTAGTGGTTGTGTTTCTTGCCTCCGGTTAGCCAGGAAATGACAGAAAGGATCCTCGTAGTAGTTCCTATACATTCCCCATACAGTAATAGTAGTTTCCATTTTCCTTTCCATTCCTTCATTCCCTACTAGCAGAGCGAAGTTCCGATCTGCCGTCCGTTCTGCACTTCAAGCTGCACGTGGGCTAGCTTTTTTTGGTACTTGACGGCCCAGGGTTTAGTTTGTATGTTTTACCCTTCCAGTAGAGGATGCACTGGCAGTGGATGCTGGTTCCGCCGTTGCTATGGACCCCATTGATAGCGCAGGTTTTAAGAAGAAAGACTGCCCTGCTTTTTGCACAGTTTGTCAATCCCCTGGTGCGTGCGATTTCATCGCACAGTCATGTCGCAGACAGCTCGCCCCTGTTTCAAAGCCCGAAACTCTATCGCCCGTCGTCTCATTAGCACTGCACTGCTTGCCTTCTCGGTCTCACAACTCACAATCCCCTGTCGGCAAACGTATCGCGGCCCGAAAGCTTCACAACGATGACAGGGAAAGGTACTAACTCAAGGAGCGGTCCTTGACCGACACCACTATGCGTTGCTGCGGATTACAGTGCACAGGCCCGACGGAAACAGCCATGCTAAAGGTCTTTGCCCTGCAGACACAGACTTTGTAGGCAATGACGCAGGATCCAATAATGCAAGCAAAACCTGTGGAAGTCATGACCCACACCATGAGGGTGCCTCAGGAACAGCCTGTGGTCCTTGCACTGCCGACGCAGATGCAGCAGCTGCCCGCACTCCAGGACACAGCCTTACTAGGGTATTCCTGGGAATATTCGTCAGTTATTATGAATCTTAAGCCATAATCATCCCCATATAACCTTACATAATGCAGAATACCAGTCCCAATAGAATCCCTATATGACCTTTTATGACCCAGAATACAAGTCCAATTATAATCCCTGTACCGACGTTATATAGCCCATAAGAATTCATCTTTAGGTCCCCTGACCCTGGACAGGCCTCAACCTATAAGCCCTCAAGCCCTAAGTGCCTAAATCTGCGGATGGAACTATGGGCACCTAACATGGGCTCTTGGGCCTTCAGGGGGATTCGAGGGACCTTTAGCGTACATAAAAGGTAGATTGGAAGTATTTAGTAAAGGAATGCATCCTAATAGTGGCCCCCATGTACTCCCCAATACTATGGTAGTTTCCATTTCCTTTTTCATTCCCCAATTATCCCCTGTAAACTCCGAGTTTCCATTTAATGTTCCACGTTCTTTTCCATTGTGGTAGTTTTCCATCTTCTCTCCCATTCCCCTACATCCCCTATATAACCCATATGTATGTATATAGCCGTATACCCTGATAGTAGTTTCCTATTTATTTCCATTCCGGTATATCCCCTACACAACCCCCATATATGTATATATACATATGTACAACCCGAGACCCTGATACTTGTAGTATAGTTTCCATTTTCCTTTCCACTCCCATATATCCCTAATAAACCAGTGGAATCAGGCCGAAGGCTTTTCCGCGGGTTTCGGGTTCAGGGGTTAGGATAAAAGGAGGACCAACTGGAAAGGACACATGGAGAATGAAATGGAAATTCTAGGTCCCCTCAAAGGTTTAGGGTCTAGGGTATGTATGTGGGGATGTGTAGGTATATTACCCCACTTGGCAAGCTCACCGGAAGTTACTATATGGCCCTAAGGGTCCAGCATACAATAATCATAAACTTTGGACTCTTATACTATGAATCCTGAACTAAGGTTTGGGGGAGTATACAGGATGATCATATACTTTGGACCCTTAGGGTAGGGTGTAGGATCTGCACGCCATAGCCTAGAAATTGATGATTAGCAATAAGAAGGGAAATATTGTTGATGGGTTTCTGGAAATGAGGGCGATCCCTTGAAAGGGGTGTAGGGCATAGAGAACAAAAAACATGTGTGTGTGTGTGTGATTGTGTGCGTATATGTGTATATATATATATATAGAGGCTGGTTATTCCTGAGTATGCCTTTTTTATCATTCTAGACCGCAACCCCAGTACAACAATGCTTAACCCATGAGAACAATTGTCGGGCACGAAAGATATCCGAGTCAGGGCACATCGGAATTCATCCCCGGCTCAGAGATTTCGTGGTTCACCCTACTGAAACATTGAGACTTGCGTATTTTGAATGAAGGTTTGTCCTGTTTTGCTGGCCCATCCAAGCAGGCCTGGGGGCACAATAGCAGCAAAGTGCATAAAGCGCAGCTAGTTAAAAGGCAAGGTGATGCTGGCTACTGTGCTGTCTGGGCTCCAGAATCATTCTTTCCCTTTCAAGGCTGATGTGCCGGGGTCCTGTTCAAATAAGCTCCGTGTGTGAAGCCAATGACAAGTCCACAGGATGACATCTCTGCAAGGGTAATTCTGAGTGTGCCCATCCCTCCTCCTAGTTCCCAGGCCGCGCCTGATCAGCTGAGCCGCTGCCCCATATGGGCTTGTGCCCTCGGCGCCAGCATGAGAAGCGTTCAAGATCTGTGCCTTTCAAAGTCACCAGTATTTAAGGCCACCCGCAGAATCCTAGCTACACTCACAAGTTCTGCGGAGTCTGTCTTGTCTTGTGCGGTCCGAGGATTAGCCATTCCAGAAGACGCGGTGCAGCGCCTGCAGGGCTCTCAAAGGAGCGGTGGACTTTGCTAAAGTCACAAACCTTTAGTGGGAGCTTGCTGCCATGTGACTGATTTGGGTTGAACTTACTGAAATCTGATGTGCACCCAGGCTGGCTCGACTAAGACCTGCGCTGGAGTTTGCACAGCAGGGGCTGAAGGCCTTGGTTGGACTAGGGCTGCCTTTGGATTCAGACGCTGTTGGCATCAACCTTTTCTGGATTCAGGACTTTTGATGTCATTCTTGATGCTAGCAGAAACAGCCAGACTAAAATTGCAGATCCAGGTTTACAGTTGGTGTCTTCCGTTTGCCGTCAGAGATCTTCAGAGTCTAAGGCCTCCAAGACTACAATTTGGTCTATCGTGCAAAAGAACAGGCGTCTAGCACCAAGACTCCCCCAAGGGTCCAGCTACCCAAACGTTAGCAATATTAGGGTGTAAGAACATGCAGAATACAGCATTTCGGACTTAAAGTTCCGTTGTTTGGATGCTTGGACCCTCCAAGATTTGAAAAGCCCATGGACAGGCGGCTACGAAGGATTGTCGCGTGCCTGCCAGCTGCGCGTCCAGGTGCCATGGCCTTCGCACAGGGGTTCAGAGTTTAGGGTTTAGGGTTGGGTTTAGTAGGGAATACGGGCATGTATTGGGCGGGTTTTATACTGATAATGGAAAAGATAATTGAAGCTGACACATCATAGTCAGTGGGGTACATATTGGGGGTGTTGGAGGCTAGGGCCGTCTCCCTATATGTCCTCTATACAACCCCAATAAAGATAACCCACAACCCGTTTTGGGCTAATAGTACTACCAGTGTAGCTGCTGCAAGTTCCTGCTTTTGCAACCGCACTGCAGCAAGCCGTGTGTGTAGGTTTTGCGCGATGAGCCCGTACCCCCAAAAACTGATGAAGAGTGCTCTAACTCTAGCCCATTATGAATCCATGGGCTAAGCGATTCCTGGCAAGACTTGTTAATCAGTATGGACCATAATCCTTGCATATTGCATGTAATGCCTTTGACAAGATAACTGTTCTAGGGCTAACTATAAGACCCTACCTAATCCCAGATTCCCATTTCATTTTCCAGCTTCTGTTCCATTTGGTTCTCCATTCCATGCCTACAGATCCCCCTATGTATTCCCAATATAGCCACACTGACTCTATCCTAAAACCTGATGCAATACCGTGTAGCTTCCATTTCGTTTCCAGATTCTCATATACCTAAAAAAAATTGAAGGGCCTCTAGATTTATCCCAGTGGGGAGGATCACAGATGGCAGGTTCCGCCTCTATACCCAGCGTGGAACCCGCGACGAAGCTGCAGCTCAGGCAGAGTTCTTGCAGGTTTTAGGGTTAAGTGGAATACATAGCCCTACTTGGAAATTTCTCAACATTAGTTCTGGTTGTTTAGAATCCGGATTAGAATTAGTATATTAGGAGTCTATCTTGGGGGGACCCTTGTTTTGGGAAACTGCCATCTATCTCCATATACCCCGCATAACCCCTAGGTCTAACTTGCAAAGCCGTGCATGACTTGATCCTTAGCCGTTTAGGGTTTAGTCTTTGCGGTTTAGACTTCGGGTTTCGGATTAAATGTACTCCCATATAACCACTATTTATCTCTGTAGACCCTATACCAAAACCCTATATAACCGGTATAACCCTTGTATTATCCCTAATAAATCCTGTCAAAGGCATAGTGCGCTCCTTGCCTGCGAATAGACCAGCCTGTGAGTGCTCTCTCACCAATATTCAGATGTTAGGATGTACCACAATGGTAATTTAATGTTTTGGGGGCGGGGTGGAGATTTTCACGCTAAGGCGACGGGATTATTGATGGGGCCCTATGGTTCCAGCGTCCCCACCCCGTGGCACTCACATGGAGGCGCGGCAGACGTTGCAAGCCGTGCTGCAGGCTTGGAACTTTGGCTGCCTTATCGAATCTAGCCACGAAAGTACGAAAGTGCAAGCTTTGCGGGGCGGAGATTTGAAGGGGTGAGTGGAAGAATGGAAGGTCCTGAGCTGGCGTGAAGTGATGCAAGGCACTGAGACAGCTGCGCAGGTGGCTGCTCGAGCAGCAGAGCTCTTGGCGTTGCTGGCGCTGCTGCACCGCCAGCAGTGGCCCCAGAGCTCTGCATCCCAGTCAATGACCTGAAGTCAAAGCCGACTGAGCCATCAACAAGGAAAGCCTGGGTTCAGCTATACTATTCCATTTTTTTCTCTGCCTTTGCACTGGTGCTTGCACTTCAGTCGCGGAATGCCTTAGGCGAACTGCTCAAACTCAAGTGCGATTTAGGTCGACAGAGTGAGAGATGTAGCATTGCGGGGCCTTTCCTTACCTCGAGTTAAAAGGTAGGAGTAAATCTGCATAGTAGTCTAGACATGGCCCATGCCTGCCTGGTGGTTTGGAATAGAGAGGATGTTTCGAAGGATAAGCATCCACATGAACATTTCCCCAAACATCCCCCCTGAGATTGCACTCGCAATCTCCTAAACCGTTTACGAGTAAACGGCTGCGTAAAGTTT